GGTAAAATTGATTGGAAACCTAAATTTGTCCTGTCCCTATATAATTCAGCTACATTTGTTGCATTGAAATTTTCGCGTCTGTTTTCCGCGAAAGGATTGTCAATATGTCCTTGATTTTCATTACCGGATTGACGCCGTTCACCGTTTCCTTCCCGATCCGTCATGATTATCTCTCAAAAAAAAAATCTCAACATAAAAAAAAATCAATTCTTTTTATTGATTATATCTGGCAAAAATCACAGATATTTATTTTAAAACTTTTAAAATCTGTTTATTTTCATAATCAATTGTAAAATAATATATTCTCGATAATTTCCTTTTTTTTTAATTCTTTTATTAACACATTATGACTTTTATTTTATTTAACTTTATTAATTTAATTTCTTTCAACTGTATACTTTGTCAACTCAGCACTCTTACTGTGACTTTGTGCTCGCAATGTTTTGAAATACGATTAATGCACTAACCCCGTAACCTATCTATAGCAAGGTCGTTTATTTCTTTTAATTAATCAAACTTTTAATTACCTGTCATGCTCAAATTTTGCAATGATTGTGCTAGTGAGCTGTAATTGTTTTCTGAACGCGTATCTTTAACTTTTTCTTTTCCGACGAATAATTGTCTTTTTACCGCATCAAATCTTTCTGGACTAATATTTCTTCTAGCTAAAATGTGTGCACGAAGTTTACGTTGTCTTTCTAATTTATTTTCTTCGCATTTAGAATAATTATACATTTGAAATTTTATATTCAAACAATAAAATCTAACTCCTGTTTTGTATACTTTTCGTGATTTTAAGCCTCTCACTTGCCCAAGTGGCTACACACTTCCGGCAAGGTTAAGTCGAGGAATTTTTACCGAATTTTTAGAGAAACCAGAGCTTGCCGAATGCAAGGGTAGTTACTGTGTCTCAGTTCGACGTTAGCGAACCAAAATAAAAATAACAAAAATTCTACTCGCGCACTTGAAAAAGAAACCCAAACAAAAAATTTTGTCTGAAAAAAATAATACATTAAAACATGGAAACCATAAAAAAATATTTCAACATCAATTCAATTTCATCATTTTTTTATCTCAATTTACTTCAAATAATTACTGTGTATTTGTGAGTGTTTTAATTCATGTGTGTTTTCAGACAGAAAATTTATTTTTCACTCTTTACTAAAGTCTCAACTTTTTCTTTTTAAAACATTTTTTCAAAAATATGAGCGATAGATCCCACCGCTGCCACCATTTTGTTAAAGACGGATGTTAATTAACAAAACAAAATAAATAAAGTAAACTAAATTTTGAAGAAAAATAATAAGTTAGAAACTACACTAATCTTTATTATTAACAACCCGCTTATTCGGAAAGCGTAAATGCTCTTCGCTAAAGAATTTTAGAATAAGGTAGTGGACTACCCCTCAGTAAATTATCAATTCAATAAACCCGGATAGACGGTATTTCAGAGAAAATGTTTAAAAGAAATATGAGACAAAGTAATTCAATGTGAAAAATAAATAAATAGAATCAAATTAAATTAACACTCAATTTATTACAAATTATTCTCAAAGTATTTGTTTTATACATGCAAAGAAAGATTTATTACAAAATTCAATAATTAAGCTACTTGACTTACGTCAAGTCTCACAAATAACAGCAATAACGATTCTATTTTCAAAATACAACTTCTATTTTGTTATGAAAATTGTTTGTGTGTTTGTGTAATGTATGTTTAAATTCTTTTTAAAAAGAAAAAAAGGCAATTGTTAAAAGACTCACCAAAATAATAATTATAATCAGACCAGAAATAAAGTATCGTATTACTTAAATACTCGTGTTTGTCACTTGATGCCTGAATGCGGAAGTCTTCTCTTATATACTTTTATTTAATATGAATTTCTCGATGCTATTTATTTAACTTGTTATATTCTTAAGGCACTTGCACTTTTAATATTAATCACGAAGATCAACCCTGACTTGGGGAATATTCAATTCTATCAACCACTTTTTGTGGGACTTCAATAATATAATCATCCGCCTTTTGCGGGAATCAACAATACATCCGCTCTGCGGGAATGAAACTGAACACTTGTTAACTCTTACTGATCCTTCGATCACTATTTAAACTCTTTTTAACAATCAGAATGGTGACAATGATCACTCCCGAATCATGTAGAAGGAGAGTTGATTTTGCAACTGACTTCTCCTTATTTTCATGCAATTTCAACAACGTTGCATTTTTAACTGGGGCAGTGATACATTCAATCACCTACTCTACTTATAATTTTCATTAATATTACTTAATCTTCCCAAAAGGATTAAGTAATTGTTATATATTGGAGACCCACATTTAAATGATATAATAAGAATTTAGAATATGTTATTATCTTGTAACATATTTCAATTTAACGATTCATTATAAATAAAGTATATGAAGAGACCTTTTGCATAATTATTAAATAATTTCGAAACAATAATTGAAATATTAACAATGAGAATAATAATGTGTGTTGTGTTTTATAATATAACAAATACTAAGAAAAATTAATAATTTATAATTATATAAAAAAAATTATAAAGTGACGGAAATTCCGTCCCTAACATCCAAATTTGACAAAAATAACTGTAGCATCGAGATTAAACCTAAAGTAATTGAATAACACAAAAATTTTGAAAATATGACTTATAGTTTTCGAGAACTCGGTGTCGATATGATCGCCAATTTTTTCTGACTAACACAATTATTATTTGCTCAAATTTTCATAAGAAAGAATAGTCATTCAAAAGAATTTTTATTTTACAGAAAGAATTTTTTTCTAGCCCAATTTTCATTTGTTCGAATTTCTATTCTACAGAATACTTAAAACGCCGAATTTTTATTTAACAGAACTTTCATTTGTCCTAATAAATATTTGGTAGAATTTGGAGGCTAATTTTAAAAATTATGATTGGTTAATTTAAAAATTTTGGCACAAATATTTTTTCGAACGGATGAAAGTTCTGTAAAATAAAAAATTCGGCGTTTTAAGTATTCTGTAGAATATAAATGGGAACAAATGAAAATTCGGCTAGAAAAAAATTCATTCTGTAAAATAAAAATTCTTTGACTATTCTGTCTAATGAAAATTTGAGCAAACAATAATTCCCTGACAAATTCAAATTCGGTGAAATAAAAAATATGTAAATTGAAAATTCATTTAAGTAAGAAATCTGTAATATATAAATTTGGTTAAATGTAATTTCTATATTTCAAAGAAATTAAAATGCAGCTAAAAGTAAATTTTAGATAATAAAATTCTGTAAAATGAAAATTCTAATAAAACGCAAATTTTTACTATATATTGTGGTATTTAAACTCTTTCGACTTTTTAATCCAATGAATTATCACTCACATGGGATATTGATTTTTTTAAAAAAAAGTAGCTCGACCACCTGACGGGCATAATTTGTTAAAGTTATTAAAAGTTTTTTTAAAAATAAATAAAATAAAACAGCCCGACCAGTTCTCGATCATAAACAAAGTAGATAAATTGCGAAATTTTGAAAGTTGATTGAAAAATGCTATTCTCTATTTGCACATATATGTGTGTAAAACTCTCGTTATACTCTTTTCCGGCGCAAGAACAATCAACGGATGTTTTCAATTAAATGATTATGTGAGATATTTAAATTTACTTTTTCCTTGACAGCTCATCACTATTATAGAAAATTCTAGTATTTATTTAAAAAAAAATTAAAATTCTCCTTCGTTTTGTACAACTATTAAAATTTTAAATTATATTTTTTACAACTAGAAATAATAAGTTAATTTATTCTTAAAATTAAAAATATAAAAATTGTACACGGAAAAAATATAAAGTAACTTTTACTATTTACAAAAGTAAAATCTGAACTTTACGGAACTTCTGCAAATTTCTGGCGACTTTTGCTTCAGAAATAGAAAAAATTACTATTAAAATAGTAAAGGTTACTCCGGATATAGTAGTTTTTACTATTTACGAAGCAAAAGTTGCCAAAAATGGGCAGAAATACCGGACATTTTAGGATTTACTATACGGAAGTGGCAAAAGTTACTTTATTTTTCTTTTCCATTTTTCACTGTATATAAAATACTCTATAAATTTGTGTTAGTAAAATTAACTAATTTGAATTAATGACTCACTCTTTGCTTTTTTTTACTATCGAATTAGTCAAATTTAATTAATTCAAAGGCAAAAAGTCAGTTACTAATTCAAATTAGTTAAAATTTTTACTAATTCTTTAGAGATTTTTTAGATTTTAACAATTGTACAAAACAACATTTTCACCGCGGTTGTACAGAACACTATGAATTGGATTCACAATGAAAAATTAAATTAACAAATTTTTTAATTGTAAAATTAAAAAAAAAATAATTGAAGTTTCACATTCCGACATTAATTTAATGTTTAATTAAGATTAATTATCAATATTAATCTATGCCTTAATCCATATAATTTTATTTTTATCATTTTTCAAGCATGTGCAGATACATTATATTTTTTCTCAAGATTGAAGTATATGATTTAATATTATTAATGGGTACAGATGATTCATATTAAACAAGTGCATTGAATTTATAATTATACATATATATGTATCTGAGGGTGACGATGCAGGTAGTTAATAAATTGTCAGGAGGTTGTGCCCGAGCATCTATTTCATTAAAATTAAAAAAATAGAACATAAATACATTTATGTTATTGATCATAAAAATATTTTTAACTTTTACAATCCTTGGCATCAAGTTTAATTATATGCTTCATTACAATTTTCCATGAATTGTACATATATTTTATTACAAATTAATTTTTTATTAAAAAAAAGAACATTAAGCAAAATCAACCCTTTTTTAAATGTCTACAACTTTATGTTTTTTTTTAAAGAAAATGTTTAAATAAATTTTCAAAAGTGTAATAATGTAATTTTTTTTACTATAACACTAATAATAAATAATTGATTTAATTAATTTAGTGAGAATTTATTTTTTAATTTAGGTTCAAAAATGATATTAAGAGGTGTCAGTGGACAATTCAAATCTGGGGAACTAACTGCGATTTTGGGTCCATCTGGAGCAGGAAAATCGACTTTACTAAATATTTTAGCCGGATACAAGTAAGCGATTTTTATTTTTGTCAATAATAAAAATTATTTATCATTTAATTGATGATTTTCATCCTTTATTTAAAACTTTTTCCGAGGGATAAATTCAATTTTTATTGATAATAATAATAATTATTATTATTATTATTATTTATTTATTTATTTACTGAGAGAAATAGTTGTCTGAGAGTACTATTTAGTTAGTAAAAGGTTGTTGCTAATTTTTATTACTGTTACTATTTAGTTAGTAAAGTAAATAATTTAATAGGTATACCAACAAACAAATTAGTAAAATTAACCAATAAAATAATTATGTTAGGTAATAAAAATGGTATCCCTAACTAATAAATTATTAGCAGCATATTTTACTAACTAAAAATGCTCTCTAAATCTGAATTAGTCACTTTTGACTAATTCAATTGTGTTGATTTGTTCATTAAATGAATTAGTGATCACTTTGATTAATTTTTATTTAAAAAATGACTAATTGTTAGTAGAAAATAAGTAATTCATTTATTAAAATTTACTAATTAAAATTGTACCCTTATTAAATGAATTAGTAATTTTTTACTAACAATTAGTCAAAGCGGTAACTAATTCATTTAATAAACGAATCGGCGCAGTTAAATTAGTCAAAAGTTACTAATTCAGATTTAGAGAGTGTATACAATTAATCATTAAACTATTTCAATTATAAATTTTCTAAATCAAATAATTAATATTCATGTTACCGAAACAATAAATTTAACCATAATGAGGGTTTTTATATTTATATTTACAAGTACTAAAAATTAATTCTGATATATTTAATAGTATAAAGAGATACTGCTTTTATCAATATATCAATAAATAGAGATTACAATTACAAATTAGAAAAATCGTCTGATTATATAGAAGGACAAAAAATTAAATTGCCTTATTAACAATGTAAACAGGACATTATGCGATATCGGGAAAATTGTTAATTGAATTGATGCACTTTATTGCTATTAATGAAACATAAATTTTATTTGTTGATAATATAGCCGCGTTTCAATGTAGATCATACGAAATGCATATAAATTACTTAATCACCTTTGACTCAATATTGTAATTACATATTCAATGTCATATTTTTCTTTCAAGGAAAAAAATATTTATAAAATCCTTACCGAGGATATTGAACTCAAAAATTACGTCAAGTAGGTTGAACGAAGTATTACATAAATGTAAATTATTAAACCTTTTTTTTCAATTTCCGGATATTTTTACGAATAATTAACTCATTTCTATAATATGATTTTACATCAATAATTAATACTGAAAAAAATGAATAAAAGAATAAAAAAAAATTTATTTAAATAATTTTTCTTACTTTTTTTGTAAATTTAGAAAATTTGTTGTTTTATAATTAAAAAACGATTTCTTTTTAAACGAATTTTTACTTAATATAATTTTTTAGGTACCGAATTTTTATTTGTCCAAAATCGCAAATGACCGAACAATCAAAAGGAAATATTTTGGCGCGAATTTTAAAATTAACCAATAAGGAATAAAAATTGTTAAGAAAATCGTAATTGGTTAATTTTAAAATTCGCGCCAAAATCTTTCTGTTGATTATTCGGTCATTTGCAATTTCGGACAAATTGTGAATTATAGAGCAAAATTACTAGACTAGATAAAAATGTGTATTTTTTTTTATAACAAGAGTCGTTTTTGTTAAGAGGTATAAAAATAAGTTTCTGTGCGTATAATGAAATGGGAAAACAATGTTAATTTATTGCTTTCGACCTATAACAGAAAAACTAATTAAACAAAAAAAGTCAAGTATAAGAGTGAGGAAAGGATCACTGACCGAGAGTTCACTTTTTACTGTATATGTATAAGCTACGCTAGAGTCTATATGGTCAAAAAATAAAAAACGGAAAATAATGCTTCATGATAAAAAACTGCTTTTTACATCACTCTCATCCTTAATTATAAAATAAAGAATTTCTTAAAAAAATGAGTAATTTAAAAAAAATTTTATCCCCTTAATTAAAGAAAAAAATGTTTATAATTATTATTTTAATAATTGTAATTTATTATAAATGCACTACCTCTGACATTATTAATTGTATTCAAATAATGTAATTATTTTATGCATAAGCTCTATAAGAACCTCTTAGGAATAAATTTTTTTTTATAGCGTTTCCTATTTATCTGAGACTAAAATCAAAAAATTTATTTTTAAATTAAATTTTTTTATGATCAACTGTTTTAATTTGTTTAAATTAACATTTAATTTTTGTCATTTCTTTCAAATAATTTAATTTGTAAAATATATGTTGATATATCACTTTCGTTGTTAAAAGGTCGAATTCTTAATTGATAAAATCTTCATTTAACAAAATTTATTGAAATATAGAGTCATAATTTCTTAAACGGATCACCTAAAATTAAAAAATCTAGTTTTCAATGTTAAATCAATTTTTTCTTATTCCTAATGTAATCAAAATAAATTTCTAAAATTATTTAGAGCCCGTTTTCATCGTGTGAATAAATTTAATCTTCCGAGAGAGGTTAAAGGAAGCTCTGCGTCTGCGCAGAAGCTACAAACATTATGCGCAAACGCAGAATATAACTACTGCCTTTAACCACTCGGAAGATTAAATTTATCCATACGATAAAAACGGACTCTTATTAGACTAAAAATGAATATTTTTTTGAAGTTCATAAATAATAAATTTTGCATTTCCTCTAAATATTTATTTGTCAGAAATTTTCTATAGCCGAATTTTCATTTGTCATAATTTTCAAATCACCGAATTCTTATTTAGCATAAAAAAAAATTTTATCCAAAGTATTTTAGCGCAAATTTATAAATTAACCAATTACAAATTTAAAAAAAAATTGTTGATTACCTAATTTTCAAATATGCTCTAAAATACCTAAAATGCTAAATACTTTGTCATACAAATAAAAATTTGTTTCTATTAAAATTTTGTCAAATAAAATTTCAATGATTGGTTATATAAAAATTCTATTAGTTAAATAAAAATTCATTTGCATTTTATAAAATAAGATTAAATACAAAATCAATTTTCTTAAATTCAGTTAAATAAAGATTTTATTAAATATTATAAATTCTCCTAAATAGAAATAAATTTCGATTAGCCGGGAATTAAAACTAACGATTTTCAAGGAATATTTATGCGTATTATCAAAAGCGGAAGGAGGAAAAATCATCTTCTCTTGCCTTAAAAAAAAATAATAAATAACTCTAATCTAATTGACGGCACGTAATAAATTTTTTTTTAAAACACCAATATTTGTTTTCATTTTCAGGTGTGAAGGATCAAATGGATTAATTTCCATAAATGGACAACCAAGAGAACTTCGGCAGTTCAAAAGATCATCATGTTATATAATGCAGGAAGATTTACTTCAGCCTAGACTTACTGTCCTTGAAGCTATGCGTTTTGCTGCAGACCTTAAACTCGGAAACAGGTTGACTCCAAGTGAAAAATTATCAGCAGTAAGTGAACACGCATGTATTTTTTTATATTAAAAAAAAGCAAAAAAAAAAAAATTAATTAACAGTGTAATTAGTTTCAAGGACTTGATGCTACTCAAGATTTTATTTCATTCTGAATTTAATTTCTCGAAAACATTTTTAAGTATTTTTAAATTAATTTAAAATAGAGTCAATAATGCTTTTAAAACTACATATTGTATATTTAAGGTTCATCAATAAATTCTCGTGTGTGTTTGTGTGTTTTGCAACATTTTAAGATAAATGATATTTGAAATTCACGATTGACCTTATAAACTCTTGGTTTAATAGTCCAAAATTATGTATATGAGTTTGATATTAACAAAAAATAAAATTTTAATAAATCAATGACAAAATTTCTGCCATTTTAAGCGTAATAATATTAGGAAAAAGAGTAAAAATTACATACTTTTTTGGTCAAGTCATTTGAATAAATTTGCCAAATTTGAACTTTGGATTATTCTATAGATTCAATGCGTAGAATTTTTTCGAATTAATTTCTTTTTTTTGATATTCGTACACTTCAATTTTTAATATTTTGTAAAATTTTATGTATTGACTTTGGAATTTGAATTTTAAAGATGATTTACACGGAAAAAGGGGTGATAGTTGTAAAAATTTAATAATAAAAGCACAGAAATAATATATAGACAATGTTGAGACAAAATTTCTGAAGTATACCAATTTCAAAAAAAAAATTCTTAGATTAGGCTGCAATTTACATAACATTTAGTACTATGGGTGAGTACTTCATCAATAAATTATTATTAATTTTTATTAAAAATTGTAGAGGGGGAAGAGGAATAAAATTTTGGTCAAATATAAATTCGTAATCAGCAACTCCAAAAACCTTAGACTAAATTATGACTGTTTATAATTAAAATATTTTAACTGACAGTAACAATTTGCCTGAAACTTGTTACTATGGAGTTTTTAGGGTCGCTGATTACGACTATTAAGTCAGATTTTTAAAATTCAAAATGGCGGATCCACTATGGCGAACAAAAAAAATGAAAAATCAATCGGATTTGCTTGAAACTTGTTACTCGAGGGTAACAAGCAAATCCAATTGATTTTTTATTTTTTTTCCCCACCATTTTGGATCCGCTATTTTGAAATTTGACGTCATAAGGAAAATCTAATAATGAATTCGAATTCAGCATAAAAAATACGTTAAGAAACGTTCTTTGCCTTTTTGGATCCAAAAGTTGACCTGAATTTGCAATCCTGTGCGTAGTTAATGCTGATATTATCATATTTAATTATAATGATAATTTTCCTTCCCAATTATATATTAGAATGTGACAATTTTGATCCACGGAAGGTATTTTAAATAACACAAGTTTTATGTCATTTTTTAATTTATTGCTAAGCAACGTTTCGATGACATGGTTTTGTCATCCTCTTCAGGCAAGTATAAAAATTAAAATTACATTTTTTGTAATTAGTCAAATGAATATAAAATTTTGTGTCTTATCATGGCAAACGAATTTTGCCATGATAAGACACAAAATTTTATATTCATTTGACTAATTACAAAAAATGTAATTTTAATTTTTATACTTGCCTGAAGAGGATGACAAAACCATGTCATCGAAACGTTGCTTAGCAATAAATTAAAAAATGACATAAAACTTGTGTTATTTAAAATACCTTCCGTGGATCAAAATTGTCACATTCTAATATTATCATATTTATTCATAAGCGAAAAGTTTTGAACGTTCAAATGAACAAAATTTTTTTTGTAACTTCTTTAAATACGAATTTTATTATACAAAATACTGTTTTAAATATCTAAAAAGATTACCAAAAATGAATTTTATCAGTGCAATTTTATCAATTTTCTTGTAACTTTATCGACTTCTGGCAATAATTTTACGTGATTTCTACTGTTAATATCTACTACCATACCAAGTTTTAGACTTGCACCTCATCATTTTTTTTTCATCAAAAATTTGCATCTTTTACTTTTCACTTTCACTTTCACGTTACACTTCCGGTAACCAAAGCGCCTTCTGACGGCAAGGTTATGTGTTTATCTATCAAAAGGGAAGGCTTTTATACAAAAACTTTTCTTGCATCTTATCGTTGCCAATTCTCGTAGCCAGTCTATAATTGATATAATATTCGGAAAAAAAAATTTACCTGAAATAGCGAAAGATTTTATAATAATAGCAAAAGTTTTTATTGTTTCTGTTAAATCTTTCCCTATTTCAGTGAAATCTTTCACTATTTCAGATGAAACTTTTTTTTCGTATACGTATTTCAAAAATATTTCTTTCACATTATAATAAAACAAAAACAACACAGTAATGACGTTTGAAAAGACGAAAATTCCTCCTGTTAAGTCAAAACAAGACATCATTTAAAAATAACTGTAGTAATCTATTTCTTTTTCAAAAGAAACAAAACAAAAAATTAGCAAGTAAAATGAAGAGAACGTGAGATTAAAAAAAAAGAAAAAAAAATAGTGAAGCAACTACAAAGTGTATTCTGGAAGTTACAACTGTGAATTAAATGGGATGCAGATTTATTTGCATTCTGTTGGTGGTTTTTGTACGAAGAGAAGTTTCATGATCAGTTAGATATAGGAACCTTTTTACATTCAAAGACTCTCTCGCAAAGTTATTTTCAGATTATTCAAAGATTTGTCTTTACGTCAATTTACATGAAATTTTATAGTAATTTTAAAATGTTATACGCATTTTAAATAGAGAGAATATATATATTTCACGATTCAAAATTCAACATTCATTTTAAACATATAAATTTCGTCAATTCAACAAAACGATTTTACCTACTCTTGTAGAGTTTTTATTTTTAAACTCAAAAAGACAATATTATATCATTCTAATTACTTTTTTTTATCTATTTGTTACACTTAAAAAGTCCAGTTTAAAAAAAAACAATTTTTGAAATAATTTTCGGCTCCTATTGAAATTAAATTATTTCTATAATTAAATAATTTAAAAATAAAAATAATAAAATTTTATCAATAAAAAAATGTAAATTAAATTTTTTTAAAAATTAAATTAAAACAAAAAATGAAAATTTGAAGCTATTAAATAATTGAGTAATTTTGTGGTTTTTTTAAAAACATTGTGTAAAGTATAAAATGTAAAAATGCCGCAAAGTTTATTTAAACTGACAGCGAGGCTTGTGGCTTATTTGTGGTTTTATTTTATTAGGCTACATTTTATTCAAACGTAAAAAAAAAAATTTCACAGCTAAACATTTATTGCATTTCTAACTCACATTTCAAAATGAAAGTTTTCGATTTCTCTGAAAATAATAATCTTTAAAAAAATTATTATTATTATTATAATATATATGCAAATTGCAAACTGACACATTTTAAATTATTTTAACTATATATTTTATATTTTTAAATTACGCTAATTCAATATTTTGTTGCATTTTATATCAGTAAATTAATTAATTAAATTTTATTATACGGGTTTATAAAAAATACCCTTTACTATTATTGAAATAATAATAATTAGATTTTTCAATCTTGTATGAAAAATAAGCAAAATATAATATTTATTCTGTTGATCTAAGAAAGTAGAAATTCATCCTAATGAAAATGTAATTAGAGCCTTTTAAATTAATATAACGATGGTGAAAGTGAATGAGAAATGATAGAAGAAACTGATTTACTTTCTTTCTTACAAGAGATGTTATATTATAATATAATATTATAATAATAACTGTGATTATTAGATAAAATCGAATGCAAAAAAAAAAAAAGTTCGTGCGTGTGCGAAGATGAATTATTTTAGAAACAGAATTTACAATATCAAAACCATCAGTTATAAAGAAATTATCTTGAGAGAAATATTTTACACAGAATTTCTGTGACAAAAAATAAAATTTTAAAATGAATATAAAAATTTATTTATAAGTCACAATAACTTGGATATGTATTGAACATTTGCAGTTATATTATATTATTCATCTTTTCAGATACATGAGATTACTGAAGTTCTTAGACTGAAGAAAGCCATAAACACAATAACAGAAAGATTATCTGGTGGTGAAAGGAGAAGACTTTCGATTGCCCTCGAGTTAGTAAATAACCCTCCCGTAATTTTTCTCGACGAACCAACCACGTAAGTGTATTTATTTATTTTTTTTTGATTGATTATAATCAAAATGTGACAGACACAAAGAAAATATCAATAATTCTAATTCGTAAAGAAAAATGTTCAATGGTAATTAAAAATAATTACATTTTCATTATAAATAGGGAAGCATATGATTATGTACTATAAAAATCATTAGTTAGAATTTTCATTTTATTCAAATTTCATTTGTCATATTTATTTTTGAACCGAATTTTTATTTGCTCGAATTTTCATTTGACACAATAGGCACGGTGCGCCAGAAGGTGGTTTAAATAAAAATGAATTGGCACTTAAAAATTCTTTTTGATTATGGTTCTAAGATGAATAAAAAACTTTTCTCAATAGGTTTTAAAATCAGCTTACGTGCCCAATTTAAAACAAATTGAGTTTTAAATATTTAAAAATAGTGTTTTATGTGGAACCAGAATTTATTTAATGTATACTTATATGTGTATAGATAATAGATGTTTTAGATTTGGGTTCATATAAATTTATTAACAATGAAGTTATTTTCTTGTTTCGTTTTTATATTTATGCATTAAGAGTGTCGAACGGTATCTGAAATTCTTTGGCAAGAAGAGAGCTTTAATTATCGCTCTAAACGTGAAATAGTATTGATTTTAAAATACTTTTTTCTCGAAACAGGAACACTTTTAACAAAATCAGCCAAAATCCTCATCTTATAAATTTCCTAATTCCAAAAGACTGTACGAATCCATAGAAAAACATGGTTGCAAAACAAAAAGAAGAAAAGTAATCTAATAACAGCTGCGACTTTGTGCGCCCTGCATGCTGCTGCCATCTGATGGCGGCAGGAGGTAATGAACCCCTCATTATATTACTTTTCGTTTTGCAATCGTGTTTTTGTATGGATGCGCATAATCTTTCGGATTTAGGAAATTTATATAAGATAACGATCTCTAGCTGCTTTTGTAAAAAGTGTCCGTCTTTCGAGAAGAAAGTATTTTAAAATCAATGTTTATCATTTTCACGTTTAGTGCCGTTTTTATAGAGCGATAATTAAAGGTCTCTTCTTGCCAAAAAATTTCAGAGATGATTCGACTCTCTTAAATAAATTTTGTCACTCTTAAAATCGTTCTTTTAACATTATAATTTAATTTTTTAAAATCGGACACAAACACTACAGCAATATAATTATTTATATGTAAAATTGAAAATAAGTAATTATTTTATCATTTATTACAGTATTTATTAGATTAAATAAATTCTGATTCCCCATAAAACACTATTTTTATATAAAAACTCAATTTTATTTAAATCGGGCACGTAAACTGATTTTAAAAACTATTGAGAAATGTTTTTTATTCATCTAAGAATCATAATCAAAAAGTATTTTTAAGTGCCAATTCATTTTTATTTAAACCACCTTCTGGCGCACCGTGAGGCATTTTAAAGAATTTTTATTGGATAGAATTTCATTCCATAGAATTTTCTTTCAGATAAATTTTCATTTCTTCAAATTATTATTTGATATAATTTCCATATAACCGAGTTTTCATACCACTGAATTTTTACTTAACCGAATAATCATTTAACAGAATTTCTAATTGATGGAATTTTCATTTGTCCGAAATTGCAAATGGCCGAACAAATAATCGATTTCGGCGCGATTTTTAAAATCAACCAATCAAAAATTATCCATAAAATTGTGATTGGTTGATTTTAAAAATCGCGCCGTAATAGATTGTTTCTTCGGCCATTTGTAATTTCGGACAAATGAAAATTCTATCCATTAGAAATTATGTTAAATGATTTTTCGGTTAAGTAAAAATTCGGTGGTATGAAAAATATCGGTTCTATGGAAATTATATCAAATAATAATTCGAAGAAATGAAAATTTATCTGAAAGAAAATTCTATGCAATGAAATTCTATCCTATAAAAATTCACAATGCTAAAGTACGCAATGTTTATGATAAACAATTTTTAAAGAAATAATTTTTTAAAATGAAAAATTCTATAATTTTTCGCCTAAAAAATATTTCTTGTAGTTTTCAGTATTAAACAAATTATAAAAAAATACTCTCTAAATCTGAATTAGTAAAAATTTTTTTTAATTTGAATTAGTGACTCACTTTTTGCTTTTGAATTAGTAAAATTTTACTAATTATTAGTAAATTTTACTAACAATTAGTAAAATTTAACTAATTATTAGTAACTTTTACTAACAATTAGTAAAATTTAACTAATTCTAAAGCAAAAAGTAAGTCACTAATTTAAATTAGTAAACATTTTTACTAATTCAGATTTAGAGAGTATTTTTTAGAAAAAAAATTATAGAGTTTTTCATTTTAAAAAATTATTTCTTTAAAAATCGTTTATCATAAACATTGCGTACTTCAGCTTCGTTAAAAATTCAATAAAATCAACAAAATATAAAACAAAAATCAAAAAGTATTTTAAAAAAAATTTTTTATCAAAAAAATGAAAAAAAAATGCAATTATACTGCTAGAGATTTCATTAATTACACAAAATAATATATAGGATGTGTAAATTTTAATAGTTAAAAAAAATTAAATTTTTTCTCTCATTTAAAAAAAAAAATGTAAAAGGTGAAAAAAAAATTCTTTTTTTTAGATTTAGGTTGATCTTCCTGACGTCAGGACACTGATCAAAGTAAAATCATTATCAGAATTTTTATTTGAAAATTAAAAATTCATAAGTTGGACTTTCAGTCAGTTCTATGACGTCAGTAACTTGGAAGCAATAAATTTATAAGAATTTATTACATCGGCAAAACATATCAAATTAAAACCCAGTAAAAAAGCGAATGTCAAATAATTTTATGCGTCTGAACGTTGAAATAAACGAAATAATTTTCTTAGTATATAAATTATTGAAAAATTATTACAGCAATGAAAAATGAGAAAATACATTCAATATTTAATAAATTATAAATTTATTTCGAATACAGAAAGCAATATTTTTATAAATAAAATGAATTTAAAGAAGTAGTAAAAAAAAAAACAAATTTTTTGAACGTTCAGAATTTGCAAAACATAATTTTAAAATTATATTTCAGAATAAATAAAAAAAATAATAAAAAGTAATAATTTCACAATAATTAATAAAAAATATTATTAATGAAGGGGGCATTGTTCAACAACAGTAGATTAATGTTTACCGATAAAAAAATGTTTAATTAAAATTCTCATTAATTGTGAAAAAAACAAATGAGCCAAAAGTTCTGAACGTTCAAATGAACAAAAATTTTTTTCCAATCTATAAATTATTAAAAATTATAATGTTAATGTAAATTAAAACAGTAAATTAAACAAATATTAAATTAATAACTTCTTTTTAGATATTTAAAACAATATTTTGTATAATAAAATTCATATACTTAAAGAAGTTACAAAAAAAATTTTGTTCATTTGAACGTTCAAAATTTTTGGCTCATAAAAACAAAACAATTCACTGAAAATCAAGCATTTAGTAGGGAAAAAATCAATTTAAAAAAAAAGAAAATAAAAAATCTGTCCAAAGATGAAAAAAACTGAAAATTATTTTTATTTTTAAAAATCAGGGTCGAAATTAAAAAAAAATTCCCAAATGACAATCGAAAGCTTATGAAAAAAAAAAATTTTTGTTTATATCTTTCTAATTATAATAAATAAAACAAAATAAAGTGTGCCATCGAAATAAATTTATGTACTGTACCTTAAACTGCTTCGGGATACACGTCTTCTCAAAATCGGAGAGAACATACTTTTCTTTTTTTAAAAAAGAAACAACTTTATACTACATACTAAACGTTACAACCGAGTGAAAAATATTTCCAAAGAAAATAAGTATAACGATAATCACGAAATTTCAATAAACACGGCGCGACACTCGAAAATATCGACTTGACAAAAGTAAAATCAAATAATCACCAAAGGGGGAACGCGAACGAGGCAAAAATAAACTTTTATAGAAATAACTGAAATTATATACCAGTCCATTATCGATGTGAAGCGATACTTGAAAATAATATTGACACGGGCTAACATATTATATGCGACCGAAAAAGAATGAAAACATTTTTAAAGAACAAACTAGAGGCCTAAGGACAATTGCGAAAACCGTTCGCAAACTTGATGCACGAGTTAAAAAAAAGGACAAAAATGAGCCAACGTACAATATAACTTCGCGACAGTCGTTTGCGAAAGAGGTGCATGCGTTAGAAAAGAACACGAGATATATTTCTGTCCTTTTCTATTTTATGAACCTCGTTCACGAATGACTTTCGCGAATCTGCTTTGCCGCCTTTTGTCCTTTTCCGAGCGTAAACTATCGGAAAGGAAAATTTTTGTTGAACGAACAAATAACGAGGCACGAAAATTTTAGTACTTACACTCACGACTCGACACTGAAAAATATGTTGACCTTGTACCAACAAGGTGATAAACTCAAAAATTTGGAAGGATAAATAATGGTCCCTTGCCTCGGTGCTTCTCTCTTCAAATGATGTTTACCCTTCCAGTGCCTGGCACAGAATGGCGCTCCGGCGCGCCCCACCAAACCTCGTTCTGTTAGCAACAGCAATCCCATTGGCTGAGGCGCCGGGTCAATGAACGAGCTGGCGGGAAAATCGAAATAATGAAGTTATCGAAAATCGAACGATTAATCGATCGGCAAAATATTGAATCTGTCAATTATTATATAAAAAAATAACAAAAGAAAATAATAAAAGAAAACAATAATATAAAAAAATAATTAACAAATAGTAGACTTATAATATTCAATATATAAAATTTTTTGAATTTATGATTTTTTATAATAGTTATACTAAATGTTTTCCAATTGGCAAGTATCGAAATTTATTTATTCAAAATATTAAAAATACAGTTTTTCACATTGAGGAAAAATTTGTTTGCAAAAATTACCGCAATTTAAAACAAAATATAAGCAAAATTTTCTTTTAATTTATATACAAAGACAAAGAAAATCAAAATTATCTAAAAAAAAAAAAAAAATAGGGCAAATTATTTTAATTATAATACGTATAATATACAAATGTCGAAATTTTGTTGTAAACCTAACCTCACTTTTTCAACAATTGTCATATTTATACGCAGCTTTTTATTATTATTATTTTGTATTATTTGTTATTATTATTAATATTGTATTTAATAATAATAATAATATTTTATATTATTAATAATAATTAATATATAATTATAATTAATTTAAAAAATAATAAGACAAAATAAATAAAATAATAAATATATAAATAATATAAATATATATAATAATATTATTATGAGTAGGTATTATTATTATTATTATTATTATTGTTATTGTCGATATTTATATAAAGTAATTTAATATTATTATTAATATTTAATAATAATAATAATATTCATAATTTTTATTTATTCTAGTATTATTTTATAAGGTTTGTTTTATTATTTTTAAAAATTAATTTAATAGGTATTATTTCAACTTTTTTTATTATTAATTTTATTATTATTATTATTATTATTATTATTATTATTATTATTATTATTATTATTATTATTATATTAATTTAATAATTAAAAGCAACAATTTTTTTGAGGTAATTTATTTTAATTTTCAGAGGCCTTGATGAATTATCATCAGTTCAATGTATAGATTTATTGCAAAGGGTGGCACAAGGTGGAAGAACTGTAATTTGTTCAATTCATACACCAAGTGCAAAAATTTTTGCAAAATTTCAACATGTTTATGTAGTAGCGAAAGGTCAATGTGTTTATAGAGGACATGCTGGAAATGTTGTTCCATTTTTACAGCACATTGGCATTGAATGTCCGAGGCATTATAATCCTGCCGATTTTGGTAAATATATATTTCAAAAAAAAAAAGAAAAAAAAAAAAAAAAATTACCAAAAAATTAATTCTAAAATATTTAAAAAAAAATTGAATTATTTAAATAAAAACCAAATATAGTGTAAATTTAAAACCAAAACTTTTGTTAAAAAATTATTTTTTGAATTAGAATTTCAGTTACGAAAGTAAATTTAAATATTAAAATTTAGTATAAAAAAAAATTAAATTAAATTTCAAATATTTTACCTAAAAATGAATTAAATATGAAATAAAAATTTAATAGTTTAAAAATTAATTTTGTATTATATTGAATAAAGTTGAAAATAAAATTTCAATACTAAAAATTATTGGTGTAATTGAAAAAAGAAATTGAATTATATATGAAAATTATTTGAAAATTAAAAAACAAAATGATTTTTCAAAATTGGATATAATATTACATATTCGAAAGAAATGTAGATATTAATTAAGAAATAAATACTTATCTTTTTAGTAATTGAAGTTTCGTCAGGAGAATATGGCAATGAACTAGTAGAAAGAATGATAAGTTATGTAGATACAATTTCACCAATTACGCCAATTACAAGAATTGAGTATTTCCAATCTGAACTTGAACAAGAAATTACAAAAATTTCATGGTACGATCAATTTCGAATACTCTTGAGTAGAATGATGTTGCAACTCTATAGAAATCGAGTAAGTTCATTTTTTACCTACACATTTTTATACAAAACAAAACAAAAAAAAATATTTTTATACAAAATTTTCAATGGAATTTTAATTTTTTTTTTAAAATTAATATTCTTTTTAAATAATCAATAAATTGTTTGAAAAAAGAAAAATTCACTACATATATAATTTTTAATAATAGTTTTTATTTTTATTGAAATTAGAAAATTTTTATTTAAAAAAAAAATGTTTAATTATAATTTTAATTGTAGTTACAAAATTTTCATTATTTTTTTTAAATTTAATTTTTTCACACAAAAATTGTAAATCGATCTTTTGGTAGATAATAAATTGAAACAATTATTGACTATTTTATATAATTTAATAATTAAAATTAGTATTTTTAATCTGTTAAAAAGGAATAAAAAATTTCAATTTTGCATGTAATAAATATCTATTATATAAAATTATTTTAACACAATTACATTTATATTAATATTGAATTATATATTAGAAAAATTAATAAAAATGTTACATTTATTGATATGAATATTTTTTATTTTTAGTCAATTGAATTAATTATTTATAACATTTTTTGATTATTTTAATTGAATTAAATTATATATGGGCGATTCTACGTGAGATTTGCATATGACATTTTAAATTCGGTAAATATATATTTTTTTCGATCTTTATAGAAAAAAAAAGGTTTACGTATTTTTTTATTTTTTTATAAGTGCTCAAATTTTCGAGTTATGAATTTTCAGGGTGTCTACTAGTCCTGGAAGTCCTGGAATTTGAAAAAATGTCCTGGAATTTTAATTTTTGTCCTTGAATTTTTTATATTTTGCTTTTAAATTTTCAAAAATTTCTAATTTTGTCAATAAAGTTAAAAAAAAATTCATTAAATAAGTAAAATGAAAATTTACTTAAGTAATTAATTAATTTTTTAATAATTTCTAAAAACAATAGTCAATGTTAAAAGTCCTGGAATTTTAATTCAGATTTTTAGTAGACACCCTGATTTTTAAAAATTTGATTTTTTCGAGTTTTTTTAAAATACACCTAATTTCAATGACATCTAACTCTAAAAAGCATTGAATTTACGAATTATGACCAAGATACAAAAAAGATTCAGTTTTACATCGACTTTCAAAATATGTTAACGAAAAAAAAAATTTTGAATTTATTTATAAAAAAACAGTGATTTTTTCTAAACAAATTAAATTTTTTTCAATTAAGGGGCGATTTTTTTTTATTTTTACACACATGAAAATAAGAGGAAAATTTTGTAATAAGTTTTGGTGTGGGTCTGATGATCCTTTTGTTTATATAATTTGTTTTAAAAAAATTTTTTACTTTTTTTCGTTTTTTTTTTTTATTTTTCGAAATGAAAAGTGTTTTGGGCACTAGGATCTTTTTAGTAAACTCATAGAAAAGCAAATTAAAATATATTTTATTTTGAAAAATAAAAAAAAAAACGAAAAAAAATAAATTTTTTTTTTTAAACAAATTATATAAACAAAAGGATCATCAGGCCCACTTCAAAACTTATTACAAAATTTTCCTCCTATTTTCATGTGTGTAAAAATAAAAAAAAAATTTTTTTTAAATCGCCCCTAAATTTAAAAAAATTTAATTTGTTTATAAAAAATCGCTGTTTTTTTACAAACAAATTCAAAATTTTTTTTTTCGTTATTTTGAAAGTCGATGTAAAACTGAAACTTTTTTCTATCTTGGTCATAATTCGTAAATTCAATGCTTGAGTTAGATGTCATTGAAATTAGGTGTATTTTAAACAAACTGGAAAAAATCAAATTTTTAAAAATTCTTAACTCGAAAATTTGAGCACTTATAAAAAAATAAAAAAATACGTAAACCTTTTTTTTCAATAAAGATCGAAAAAAAAATATATTTACCGAATTTAAAATGTCATATGTAAATCTCACGTAGAATCGCCCATATATATATATATATATATTTGTTTGCAGTTTAAAAATTTGTTGATATAGAATAAAATTTTAATTTGAAATATAGAAGAATGTGGATTGTGATTGTTTATGTGGAAATTTTATATAAATTGAATTCTTATTTTATATATTATATATATATAATTTTCTTCTTTTTTTTTTGTAGAATTATTTGTACCTGAAGTTGTTCTTGCACATTTTTCTGGGTATAATAATTGGTAGCCTATTTTTGGGAATAGGCAACGACGGTTCAAAAACACTCTTCAATTTTGGTTTTTGTTTTACGTGCCTGATTGTCTTCCTCTACATACCCATGCTCCCGGTATTATTGCACTGTAAGAAATTTTGTTGCATGATTTTTTAATTCCATTTTATAAATGAATATTGACAGAAATATTGAAAATTATAAATATTAATAGAATATTGACAATTATTATAATAATGATAATAATTTAAAAACATATTTTACAAGATATCGAAAAAGTTTCTGCTACTCCAAAATATTCAATTTTTATAAATATCAAAATTGAATTATTTTTTTTTATCAAATCTTTTTTTTAACAAATTTTAATTATTAGATATGTGCAATCGTTTTATTTAGCTATTGAAATAAATTGCAAATTTAAACGAAATTGTATATTTACATTAATTATATATTTTGTTTTTTTTTTTCTAGGAAAAAGTTTTAAATATTTTTAACTAAAAAAAATATGCACTAAATAAATATTTATTTTGTATTTCGAAATTATAATAATAAAAAAAAAAAATTGCTTTTTTTAAGGAGGAAAGAAACTTTTTAGTTATCCAATTTAAGATTTAAATTTAATTAATATTTTTAAAGAATTTTTAACAAAATACCTGAGAATTTTTTTTTATCTTCTTTTCAGTTCCTTCGGAAGTTCATCTTATAAAAAGAGAACATTTTAATAGATGGTACGATCTCAGTCCATATTTTTGTGCTCATACACTTTCCAGTATACCAGCTCAGGTTAGTTGATTTTTGAAATAAAAAAAATAAAAACACTATCGAAAATCTCAATTATTTTTCTTTTTTAAAAACAAAAATTAAGAAGAAAATCTATGATTAATTGTATCATTTTTTTTTTTTTTATTGAACAGATAATCCTTGGTTTAATTTATTTAACAATGGTTTACTTAATAACGGGACAACCTCTCGAAACTTATAGATGTGTTATGTTCTTCAGCATTTGTTTAATTTCTTCCTTGATCTCAGAAACAATGGGACTTGCAATTGGCAGTACATTAAATATTGTAGTGAGTATTTTTTTTTCTCTCAGTTTCTCTATATTAATATTTTCATTTTTTTGAAAATTCAAAAACATTTTAATCAACAGTATTCTAATAAAATTTGAGAAAAAAAAAATAATGTAATATTTTTGTTGTTTTTTTTTCTAAATTAAAAATTCTTAAATGTAAATAATTTATTATTAAATTTCTACTATTTGTTTAATTATTTTATTATTCAGGCTTCGGATTGACTTTAGGGCGGAAAAAAGTTGTTTTAAATTTACGTTCCAAAAAAAAGTAGAAAAAGTCGTTTTTTTTTTATTTTAACTAAATTTTATTAATTAATAAATATTTTACTTAACTAATATTGTTAGATATTAAATTCATTTTAATAATTCTTCAAGAAGAATAATTCTATAAGAATATTATCAAGAAAATTTATTGTACAAAAATAAAAAATAAAATAAATTTAATCCGAATATTTCAGAATCAAATTAAGACAAATTTTTTTGTTTTCTTTTTTTTTAAAAAAAAAAAGTCGAAAAAAAGATGAAAGTTAATTAATTAAATTATAAATTAATAGACTACTATAAATATTATTAATATATTCGTTATTATAATATTTGCGAAATTTTTTTTTTTTTTCTTTTTTCTTCGACAGAATGGAATATTCTTGGGACCAGCTTTGTCAGTGCCTTTAATGTTATTTGCCGTCCAAGGATTGGGAAGTGCCGAAAAATTACCTATTTATCGAACATTTGTTATGTATTTAAGTTACATTCGTTATGGACTCGAAGGACTTATAACAGCCACTTATGGTTATAATAGGGAAAAATTACCCTGTCCAAAGGATGAAATGTATTGTCACTATCGTGTTCCTCGTGAGCTATTACACATTATGGGTATGAAAAAAATAATTTTTTTTTTTTTTAATTTTAATATACATAATTTAACAATTAATAAATAATTTAGCAAGGCTGCAATAATTTAAATCAACTTGATTTAAATTACAATTTGAAATCAAAAGAATCAATTTACATTTAAATCATGATTTAAATCAAAAAAAGTCGTTTATATTAAAATTTTTTATTATTTTTTAAAAAATTATTTTTAATAACCAGTTAATAGAATATTAAGAAATGTATAACGATTGATTTATTTGTGAAATTTTACTATATAAAATTATTAATTTATTAACATTTCGAAAGAAAAAAAAAAATTTTTTTTTATTTCTTTTTGGATAATTTTAGTTTAATCCATAATTTCTTTAAATTGTAACGAATTAAAAAATAACAAATTATATAAAATTTATTGTTTTTATTATTATTATTATTTTTATTATTATTATTTTTATTATTATTATTTATAGATAAATATTGTATTATAATATAAATTTTTCTATTTCAGGTATGGAGAACGTGGTAATTTGGGTGGATTTTGTCGCTCTAATCGTGACCCTAATTTTATTTAAAGCACTCACGTATTATTTACTACGACAACGTTTGCAGCCAAACAAAACTTTTAGAGCACTTCATTTGATTGGCAGACTTGTTAAAAATTACTTTAGTATTGAATGAAATAACAATAGTAAACATTTTTTTTTCTCAATTTAAAAGAAAAGAATAATAGTTAAATTTTTACAAAAATCTATAAAATATTATGAAAAACTAGAAAAAAAAAAAAATTTAAGAAAAAATGACTACACGTATTAAATACAATTTTTTATAAACTGTATTTAAAAAAAAATGTCGACATAAATAATGTAAAATTTTTTAATATTAATTGAAAAAAAATATTTTTTTTTTCTATTAAAATGAAACAAATATTTTTTTTCCCTCATTTTTAGAAAGAAATATAATAATATTTTTCACAAATAATAATTATTGTATAATACATTATTCTAGAGAAGAAAAAAATTGACGTGAAAAAAAAATTGCTTTCAATAAAATTCAACTCTTAATTAATTAAATAAAAATAATTTTTAAATTTTAATTTTTGATAATAGAGCAATAAAAACATCGTTAAAAGAGAAGATTTTACGTACATTAATCTTGTAATTAATTTAATATAATCTTCTTTTTTCGTATTAAAATTGTTGATAATATAATATTGTAATATTATAGAAGCCAAGTGTGCCATGAATTTTTTTTTCTAGTTTTAAAAGAAAAAAAAATGAATATTACAAAAAAAATATTGACAATTCATTATTAATAGATATTTTCCTTTTTTTTTTACTGCTATTTAAATAATATTTATATAGAATGTGCCTTCAATGTAAATATATTTTTCAATTATCTATATATAATTATATATATATTTAATAAATATAAGTCATTAGAAATATATATGTAATAATTTTTTGAAAGTTTCTCAAAGTTTTTTAATTTAATCGAAGATGTTAAAAAAAAGCAACACTTTCAGAGAAATATAGAAAATTAACGTTTACAAAAATTTAGATGTAATATTTTTTCACAGCATATTAAAAATTTAATAAATTCAATTGCAAAAAAATTGAAAAGAAAAACAGATTTTTTTTTTATGTGAAACAATTATTGCACACTGAATTATTTTAAGAATTTGTAAATATTTATTATAGAAAATATAATTGTCAGCGAATTGTTATATTATGAAATTAAATAAATATATATTTGCTTACCATGTTAAACATTCTGTTATTTATTTACTTAACAAATTGACGGGACAAGTCCATTATATAGATATATTTTTTCTATTTTATTAAATTTTATTAGGCAACTGAATTAAAATTTAAAAAAATGTTACCAATTAAATATTTTGAAATACCTAATATTTATATAAATAAATAAATAAATAGTAAAATTTTGTTAATTTATTGATAATCTCTTATAAATATATTTATTATTATTATTATTATTATTGTTTTTATTATTTTTTTATTATTACTGTTTATAAATGTAAAAATATTATTTATATTATTTGAATTCGTATATATGATTTCATTATAATCATTTTTAAGAACAATGAAAAAAATAATTGTTTTAATTCCGATAATCCCAGGAAAAGAAACTTAATAACGCTATACTTTGTCACATGTAATCTAATAATGAGTAATGACTTTTTTTCAAAAGATTTTACTGGATCATTTGCCTTGTATATGCATATTTCTACAATGACGATAAACGTTTGATAATTATAAATCACTTGAAGAAAGAACAATTAACATAATATTAACATATTTATTAGTCATAAAAATAATGGAGCAATTTTTTTTTTTTTTTTTAATTATTATTAATAATAATTGATAATAATTTTTAAAGTAATATTTTGAAAAATGTCAAATTTTCATTACTTACAGAACAATAGTTATAATAAAATAGTATATAGAAATTTTATACTAGGTATTTGTTAATAAAATAATATATTTTTATTTTTTTAATTAAAATGTTAGTTTTTGTATTTTGAAAAAAAATAATTAAAAATATTAAAATATTGTCCAAAAGGATACAAATTGCTTTAAATAACAAAAATTATTTTTTTAACAATTTGTATTGTTACTTACGTAACTATTAGAATTTAGGAGTACTTTTGTACGAAAGGGCATGTCCCGTTAATAAATGAAATTGAAATTGAAACAATCAAATTGTTTATTTATTTTTTTTGTGATTTAATTCACTTAGAATTTTTTATATAATTTTTTGTAAAATTAAAATTCCTTTTTTTCTATTTATTTTTGTAATAAATATAATTTTTGTAGAAAAAAAAAAATACCCTCAAGTTTTTATATATCATTTTCGAGCACAAGACATGTGATGAAGATACTTGTTTAGTAGTAGACAAAAAAAGAGGGGATTATAGTGACTGGCAAACGAGTTTATTTTCCTTTGTGTCAGTTCAGATCAGTGTAAACTGTGAAAACGTTCACTTTCTCATTTTTCAAATGATTTAAAAGCTGTTTCATTTTTATTTAAAAAAAAAAAAAAAACAACAAAAAATGAATTTATCACACTTTTGGAGTTTTATCATTTTCCACATTTTACTTATTCACTTTTCACATGGGTATGTCTAAAAAAAAAAACATTATTTACATTATTCACGAAAAATTAATATACATTATATAACAAAATGTTACAAATTATATTTCAATGTTTTCATTTAAAGAGAAAAATATTTTTAATCTTGATTTATGGTTTAAGAAGATAATCAGAATTTTAGGTTTATAGAAAAAAAGAAGCGAGTTTTCTGCAATTGTCACTGTCAATTTATTAAACTAATTTTTCTACAATTTAAAATTTATATAATTATAAATTAATTTTAAATTAAAAAAAAATTTATTTTTAAATTTAATTTATTTTCTAATCATTTTAATTGATTTTAATTTATTAATTGTGTTTTTATTATTTAATTGTATTAATTATTAATTATTAATTTTAATGACTAAACAAATTTTAATAGAACTCGATCGAATAAATAATATATCTCGATTTAATTTTAAATTTTTATGATAATAATACTTTTTAATTGTAAATACACAATTTCCTTGTAACAGTTGCAATAAGATAAATTTTTAAGAAGGTCATTTCCTTTTATCACATCACTGCATTTCAAAATATCGACAAGAACGCTGTGAAAATTCTATTTTTTTAATATATAAACTCAATATATAAATACAAAATATTTTTTTTCTATTGAAAAAATATTTTTTAAATGAAGAAATTTATTTACTTCTTTTCATTTACTTTAAAAAAATTAAATAATTTTCAATTAAATAAATATATTGAAATAATGTATAAAATAATACAGAAGTGGAAGAAAAAAATTTTATTTGAATTTTCTTATATTTTTTTAAAATAAAAATTGTAGTTTTCCAGTCCGTATGTTAAAATAAATAAATAAAAATGTGAAAAAAATTAATATTCACAGAAATTGTAATTTTTTCAATTTATTTTTCTAGCAAATACTATAATTTCTTTAAATTTTAATAAACTGAACTCAAAAAAAAATCGGACGAACAATAGGAACAAAAAAGTTAGTATATATTTTCGAACCTTTAAATATAAAAATTAATTTATTAAAGTATTTTTTACTGTAAGTGTAAACAATTAAATTTTTAATTTTTTCAACAATTAAATTTGTGTTTTAATCAAAAAATCCATTCCACAAAAAATAGAAAATAACAAAAATGATTTGTTATTGTTATCATTTCTCACTGTAAGAAATTTTAAAACTTTATCTAAATTCACCATTTAAGGATTAAAAATTTTTAAAAATACGAAAATTTGAAATTAAACTAAACTTTTTTGTTTCGACTGTCCGTTTGTTTCTTCTTTAAAATTTTCATCACAGATATATACTCTCAACTAAACGAACTCAATTTTTATTGTCCTAATTAAATAATTTATTTTCAAGACGCACAAAGTCTCACTATTATCGCAACAAACGATTGAAGTCGTCGTCGTCGTCGTCGGCGGACAACAATTTTGATGTACTTATATTTACTCAACATTGGCCACAATCAGTGTGCTTTGAATGGAAGGAAAAATCACAAAAACACAATTGCACAATGCCAGCAAATGATGAATGGACAATACATGGAATTTGGCCGACACAATTTCATAAAATTGGACCTGAATTTTGTAATAAAAGTATGAATTTCGATTTATCAGCATTGGCAAGTATTGAGGATGAATTAAAATTAAAATGGATGGACATTGAATTTGGCATGAAACCAGGTTCATTTTGGAAACATGAATGGGATAAACATGGTACATGTGCGGCAATAATTGAAAAATTGAATACAGAACAAAAATATTTTCAAATGGGCCTTAATTTACTCGATAAATATGATATGAAAAATATTCTCGCCAAAGTCAATATTATACCGGGCAATAGTTATCCAGTGAAAATAATTCTCGATGGTATTAAAAAAATTTTGAATATTAACGCTCAAATTATGTGCGTGAAAAATCCGGTAAGTGGCAATTTTTATGAAAAAAAAAATTGAAAACACAAAAAATAAAATTCAATAGAAAATTTTATTTTAAAAATAAATTAAATTTTTAATATTATAAATTTAGAATTATATGAGAATTATAGAAAAATGTCTTTTTGAAATTTTTCCTTTTTTTTGACAGAGATAAACAATTCTTTTTCTTCGTAAAAAATAATTTTTTCTTTTACTAATTTTCCATAACAAAAAAATTCAATTTATTATTTCTTCATTAAATTATCAATTACTGAAAAATGATGGAAGAAATAAAAAAAATTGTCATTTAAATTTCAATTGGAGGGTGAAAATTTTAAAATACCTAAATTTTGTTATCTCTCATTTACAGAAAACCCACGAGTCCTATATTTTCGAAATAAGAATATGTTTCGATAAACAATTGGAATTGACAAATTGCGATGGAATTGTGAATTTTCCAACTGACTGTAATCATAAACAAAATGTCATCTATACAGGAATTGTACCTCACGAGGTCTTGAGAATTTAGCAAAAAAAAAATTTTCATTTAGGAAAATAATTATATTTTTAATTAATTTTTTCTTTTGGATAAAAATTTACCATTTTTTTTTTATTTATTTATTTTGAGATAGGAAAAAATTTATTTTCAATAAATTAGGTATTATTAATTTTTTTTGTAGGTATTTAAATTATTATTTTCTTTTTTTGCAAATTATAATTTTTGACCAAAAATGTGTTTAATTGGAAAATGAAAGAGAATAAAAAGAGAAAATTGTATATATATATATAGATAAAAAGGAACAAAAATTAATTTCAATATTTGAATTAGACAGTAAGAAACTGAAAGATATATAATATAAATTTTTTTTTTTATATATCCACATGTAATGCTTAGTACAAATTGTAAATCAGTATTTTTAACTTTGCAAATAAAAAGAAAAACAATATTGGTCGATTCATAATTTTTTTAATGAATAGTCAAAAAAATTTCCAACAATAATTAAGTTTCACAGATTTTTAAATTAATTTTTCCTTTTTAATAATTTAATTGCAGAAGATTTTAAATTTGAATTAAATTTTCTGCAAATTTAAACAGCTTTATTTTTTTAAATTTCTGACAATTCAATTTTAGAAGTTTTATTTGAAACTTTTATAAATAATTGAATTTTTAAAACTTTACACTTCAAATTTTTAGAAATAATTGAAATAATTGATTTTTGATTGAAATTTTTGGTGATTACTGTTGCTGAAGAATTTATTAGAAACTAAAGACAAAAATTGAATTTCAAAAGTTTTTAACTAAAAAATGCTTTTAGATAATTTAATTATTAAAAAATAATTTAAAATATTGTTCAAAAAGGATTCAATTTTAAATTTGCTTTAAATAACAAAACTTTATTTTTTTCTGATTTAATTGAATTATATTTGATTCATTTTTGTAAAATTAATTATTTTTTTTGTTTATTTTATAATAAATATAATTTTTGGTCTTATGGATAAAAATAAAAATACCCTCAAGTTTTTATATATCACTCTCGAGCACAAGGTATGTAATGAAGATATACTTGTTTAATAGTAGATAAAAAAAAAGGAGGGGATTATAGTTATTGGAAAATTTTATTTTCCTTTCTGTCAGTTCAGATCAGTGTAAACTGTGAAAGCGTTTACTTTCTTATTTTTCAAACAATTTAAAAGTTGTTTTATTTTTATTAAAAAAAAAAATAAATAAATAAAGACAAAGAAATGAATTTATCACACTTTTGGAGTTTTATCATTTTCCACATTTTAATTATTCATTTTTCAAGTGGGTATGTCAAAAAACAAAATAAATTATTTACATTATCCACGAAAAATAAAATATTCTATATAACAAAATGTTACAAATTATATTTCAATATTTATAGAAAAAAAACTGAGTTTTCTGCAATTGTCACTGTCAATTTATTAAACTAATTTTTCTACAATTGAAATTTATATAATTAGAAAATAATTTTAAATTATAAAATTAGTGTTTAAATTTAATTTATTTTCTAATCATTTTAATTGATTTTAGAATAATTTTTAACTTATATTTTTTCATAGTAATTGTAATGACTAATTATTGATTAATTCTATTATTATTATTATGATTATTAATTTTAATGACTAATTAAATTTTAATAGAATTCGATCGAATAAAGTTATAAAAATGTAGGAATAATAATATTAATTTATAAATAAAGTTAATTTTACACCCCTATTTTACTATAAAAATTTTTTTAATAAAAACAAAACATTTTTAATAAAATTTAATAAATGTTAAATTTAATTTAAACGAAAATGAATTTGCCAGAAATTAAATTTATCGAATCTTAATTTGTGCGAAACATTGTCTCGTACAATATTAATTTTGTAGAATAGTAATTTATAAGAATCTTAATTTTTCAGAAAAAAAGATTACAAACAATATTAATTTTCAACAAAATGAGATTCAAACAAATTTAATTGCAAATTAATTTTTTTTAAAAAAAAATTTCTGCAAAAATTAATATTTTAACAATTTAATATTCTGCAAAAGTAATATTCTACAGAATAAAATTCTGTCAAATGATAATTCTAAAAAAAATTGTTTTGGATCTTTTTCATGCGTTCCGTTTAAAAAACTAAATTTTCTTAATATTTTATAATCAGAATTGTTAAATGATTTTTCTTTAAAATTAGAGTCAAAGATACTCTCAACTAAACGAACTCAATTTATTGTCATTATTAAATAATTTATTTTCAAACCACAGAAATAATCAAACTCATAACAACACACTATTGAATCCATCATTGTTGGACAACCATTTTGATGTAATTATTTTTTCTCAAAATTGGCCACAATCAGTTTGCTTTTTATGGAAAAAAAAATCACCACAACACACATGCAGATTACCCACAAATAATGAATGGACAATACATGGAATTTGGCCATCACAATTTAATAAAATTTTACCCGCATATTGTAATAAAACTATCAATTTCGATTTATCAGTATTGGCAAATATTCAGAATGAATTAAAATTGAAATGGACAGACATTCAATCTGCCATGAGACCAGGTACATTTTGGAAACACGAATGGGATAGACATGGTACATGTGCGGTAATTCTTGAAAAAATGAATACACAAGAAAAATATTTTCAAATGGGCCTCAATTTATTCAATAAATATGATATGAAAAATATTCTCGCCAAAGTCAATATTGTACCTGGCAATAGTTATCCATTGAACATGATTTTAGATGGGATTAAAAAAATTTTGAATATTAACGCGCAAGTTACATGCGCTGAAAATACGGTAAGTGGGAAATTTTTATGAAAAAAATTTCACTGTTATTAAATAGAAAATTATTTTTTTAAAATGAATTTAATTTTCTATATTACAAATCTGGAATTGTATCAGAATTATAAAAAAAATATCTATGCGTGAAATTATTCTTCTTTTGGGACAGAGAAACAATTTTTTTACTCCGTTCAAAAAGAATTTTTTTGTTTTACCAATTTTCTAACAAAAAAAAAAATGTTATTATTTCTTTATTAAATCAATATTCAGAAAAGTAATAGAATTAAAAAAATTATTATTTAAATTGCAAATGGTGGTTAAAAATTTTCTAATGCCTAAATTTTGTTTTTATATTTCTCATTTACAGAAAACGAACGATATTTTAGAAATAAAAATATGTTTCGATAAACAATTAAAATTGACAAATTGCGATGGAATTTATAATTTTCCAACTAACTGTGATTATACACAAAATGTCAACTATCCCGAAAATGTACCTCACGAGGTCTTGTAAATTTAACAAAAAAATTTTCATTTAGAAAATTAATTATATTTATATAATTAATTTTTTCTTTTTGATAAAAATTTATAATTTTTTTTTTTAATTTTAAGAAAGGAAAAAAAATTATTTCCCATAAATTATCATTATTTTTTTTTTTTCTTGCAAATTATATAATTTTTGCCTAAAAATGTTTAATTAGAAACTGAAAGAGAATAAAATATGAGAAAATTGTATATGAATAGATGAAAGGGGAAAAAAAATTAATTTCAATAATTGAATTAGACAGTAAGAAAGTGAAAGATATATAATATAAATTTTTTTGTTTATATATCCACATGTAATGCTTAATACAAATTGTAAATCAGTATTTTTAACTTTGCAAATAAAAAGAAAAACAATATTGGTCGATTCTTAGTTTTTTAATGAATAAAAAAAATTTCTTGTAAGATTATTTTATTTGTAATTACCAATAAAAGAATAGTCTTAATTTCTCTTTTAGTTCCTTAAAAAAAAAAAAAAACACTTTCAGCACACAAACCTAGGAATCGCGAATCGCTTAATTTATAAAATAGCTAAAAATCTAGTAGTGTATGTATTAATAGAGATTTTTTTTTCTTTAGCTCAAGATAATTATCTCGATGATCATTGTACTTTTTTTTGAATAATTATAACTGCTGAGGGTACCAAACCTGAAAATACAATTATTTTTTCCTGTACTTGTAAGAAAAAGATAATTTGCTAATTTTTAATTAAATTTTATGTGCTAGGTTTTGATTTAGAACAATTAGATATTAATTTACCACTAAACGCTAATTAATTTACTAATAATTTAATTATTATTATTATTAACTATATAATAATTTAGTAATTATTTAATAATTATTTAGTAATTAATTTAATAATTCTACTGTATTAATTAATTTACGGCTAAATTAATTACTAACTAAATTATTATTATTTTGAATAATTAGAAACAAATTAAATTACCTAAAACATCCAAAGGTGCATCGAAATCATCGTCAGTAAAAACTTTTCGTGGAAAATTTGTCATTAAACTAAACGATCCTTCGCCATCCGTTCGATTCATGTCAATATAAAGTCTCACAGCCGACAATTGTTCCTTGGATCCAAAAGTTTGCGTTATTGTTTGTCCATTCGTAAGTCTTATCTGGAGAAATAATTATTTTTTTTTTAAAATTATTAAAAACATTTTTCTACAATTTTTTTTTTTTTTCTTTTGAAATATTACGCACTTGGAGTTTCGTTTGATTGTAGTCTTTTTTCACGGCAGTACTGGAAGTAATTTCAATTGGACTCGAAACAGTTGGTGAAATTGCATTGGGAGTCGTTGGTGGTGTTTGTTGATTACTTGCACCTGCAGCTTTTGCCTTTCTTGCTGCTTTATCAGCCTCAATTTGTTCTCTAACCCTTTGACGAGCTCTCTTATCATCTTCCTTCTCGCGTCTTCTTTGCTCTAATATCCTTTGCATTTCAATTTCCTCTAATCTACGAGAAAAGAAAATAAATATAAATAAATTATTACTAAATTTTCCATGAATTTAATTTTTTTTTTTTTTTGATAATTAATAATCTATGATCATTCCATTCTGTTTTATTTTTTAAAAAAATTTGTTTTGCAATTAAATTTTTGTATGGAAAAAAATAAATAGATTTTTTTTAACATCTATTTGGAATTATGAGTTTGTTTATATTTATAATTTAATTACTTTTTTCTGGCTTCCGACATTTCTTTTCCGGAACGTATTCTATGTTTTTCCTTTTCAAACGATTCATGCTTTTCCTTTTCCTCGCGTTCCTTTCGTTTCTCTTTGAGTTTCTCCTCTAGCTGCTTCAATTTCTCTCTCTTCTCTTCATCGGTCAATGGTTTCTTCATTTCTGTACTCTCCGAAAATTGATCGTGACCCGATTTTGTCGCATGAAACTCCACCTCAAGTGTTGAATTGAATAATTTTCCACATCTTAAGAGAAAAAAAAATACACATTTTTGCAAAATTTCCGAATCTTTTTTTTGTAAAAGGAAATATTTTTTTGCAACGAAATTAAAGAATTTTGAAAATATTTATTTTTAAAACTTACACATCGCATTTCATTGATTTTGCAGTGTCAGAATCTTTATTTTCTCCACTTGCACTTGCCATATCTTGATTAGGTTCGGCAGCAGCAACCGAGTCAGGAGCACTCTCTCCAACTGGTGATTCTGCAGGAGATTCAGGAGGTTCGGATTCATCATTGTGCGCTAATAACCTGAAAACAATTTACAATTTCAAAATATTTTGTTCATTAAATTAATTTAAAATAATAATGCTTTCATCTTCAAAATAATGATGAGAGTCTAATTTTATTTGTACATTTTGACATAAATTAAAAAAATTTAATATATTTCACACGTATTATTTTAAATTATTATTTCATTGTTGTTATTATTTATTTATTTATCTACATACACTTAAATTTTCAAAAATTCAAAATACATAAAAAAAAAAATATATAAAATAATAATATAAAAAAAACACATGAAAATTTAATAATTATTATTATCGTAAAAACTGAAACTAACTTTAATTCTTCTTCATGAAAATAATAATTCAGTAATTTATTTAAAAATTGCTTCATTCTCTTTATTGTATTTTTAATTTCTTTTTAATTCATTTGTAAATTTTAAAATAACCTCAAAACAAAAAAATTTCAGAAATAGAAAATTTTAATTAATTTATTAATCAAGAAAAACTAAATGTCCTTGAGAAAAAACTTGTACTGCAAATTTTGAAATCAAATTGAGAATGAAAAAAAATTAATCCCTTTTTTTCTATTCTACATTTTTTAAAAATTTTCTTTTGGTAAAATTTACACGACTTTCAAAATGTCAATATTTACCCCCCTCATCCCTTTTAAAAACTAAAAATTCAATGAGTCAACAATGTTAATAAATTATAATCATTATTGCAAAAAAAAAAAAATTGAATAGTGACATGCAAAATTTTGGAAAACCTAAAAATTATAAAAAAACGAATAAATACAATAAATAAGAAATAAAATTAACTTACCATTCCATTGCAGGTTCAACACCTTTATTTCCCGTTACCTGTAAGGCTTTTTCACTGTAAAATAATTTAATAATTTTATATATATATATTATGTTTTGAGGTTATGTTTCACAATGGCTTTTTTAATCGAATTTTTTTAACTTACGCGCTTGACTGACTAAATCCCATGTCAACAAGCATTGCTATATCGGCTGATGACATTTTTTTTTCTTTTTATCAAAAATTTGTGCTATACAATGTATTAAAAAAATTGGCAAAAATTAAATTTAAAATATACGTCTCACAATCACAAATTAAACGTCATGTCTTCTGTGCGGACGCTGTCGTGTGTGTTCAGCAAAGAGCCGGGGACTTACAGTGCCGGATACGCAAAACCGGAAACTGCAAAAAAAAAAAAACAGTTTTTTTTATATGATTGGTTGCAAATTTCCTTCCTGTTTTTAAAAATTATCAAGAAATATGTTTTTACCGTTTGGAGAAAAAAAAATTTTTACTTTTTTTTTTCCATTTTTACGTCGGAAGGAAACAATTATTTAAAAAAAATACAAATAAAACACTGATCTTAAAAAATACCATTCATTTAATTATTAATTTATCGATCAATAATAATAGATAATTAATAATATCGATTAATAAAAATTATGAATTTAATTTTTAATTAACAAAATTTTGTTTACTTTTCAAATTTTATTTAATATATAAATATATGGGCGATTCCACGTGAGATTTACATATGACATTTTAAATTCGGTAAATATATTTTTTTTCGATCTTTATAGAAAAAAAAGGTTTACGTATTTTTTTATTTTTTTATAAGTGCTCAAATTTTTTCGAGTTATGAATTTTTAAAAATTTGATTTTTTCGAGTTTTTTTAAAATACACCTAATTTTAATGACATCTAACTTTAAAAGCATTGAATTTACGAATTTTGACCAAGATACAAAAAAGTTTCAGTTTTTCATCAACTTTCAAAACATGTTAACGAAAAAAAAAAAAATTTTGAATTTATTTATAAAAAAACAGCGATTTTTTATAAACAAATTAAATTTTTTTAAATTTAGGGGCGATTTTTTTTTATTTTTACACACATGAAAATAAGAGGAAAATTTTGTAATAAGTTTTGGTGTGGGCCTGATGATCCTTTTGTTTATATAATTTGTTTTAAAAAAATTTTTTTTTTTTTTTTTCGTTTTTTTTTTATTTTTTGAAATGAAAAGTGTTTTGGGCACTAGGATCTTTTTAGTAAACTCATAGAAAAGCAAATTAAAATATATTTTATTTTGAAAAATAAAAAAAAAAAATAAAAAAAATAAATTTTTTTTTTAAAACAAATTATATAAACAAAATGATCATCAGGCCCACAACAAAATTTATAAAAAAATTTTCCTCTTATTTTCATGTGTAAAAAAAAAAAAAAATTTTTTTTAAATCGCCCCTAAATTTAAAAAAATTTAATTTGTTTAGAAAAAATCACTGTTTTTTTATAAACAAATTCAAAATTTTTTTTTTCATTAACATATTTTGAAAGTCGATAAAAAACTGAAACTTTTTTGTATCTTGGCCATAATTCCTAAATTCAATGCTTTTAGAGTTAGATGTCATTGAAATTAGGTGTATTTTAAAAAAAACTGGAAAATATCAAATTTAAAAAAATTCATAACTCGAAAATTTGAGCACTTATAAAAAAATAAAAAAATTAGTAAACCTTTTTTTCTATAAAGATCGAAAAAATACATATTTACCGAATATAAAATGTCATATGTAAATCTCACGTCGAATCGACCATATATTTTTTTTTTAATGGAGCAATTAAAGAAATAAAACCTAATAAAATATAATAATAATAATAATAATTATAGTAAGTAACAAATAAGGAGAAAATATTCAATTTTAATTTACAAAAAAATGTGAAAGAAATAAAAAAAAAAAAATTAAATGCAAAATTAAATTGAATTCTGAATGATTGTGAATAAAATATGTAAATTTTAATTATCTGCTACCAATTTTTGTTTATTAATTTAGAGGAACAAATTTACTGACAACGCTTATACAAACATTATATGATTAATAAGACAAATTTAAACGAAGAAATTTTAGATTAAAGGCATCCAAACAATTTGTGGGCAGTTTTCTTTTCTTTTCTTTTCTTTTTCTAAGAAAATTAACAACTTTTTTACATCCATCACACTACTATCATTTAAATAACATTCATTTTTGTCATTTTAAAAAAAAAACTGCTTAATTATTAGTCAATTAAAATTAACAACTTGTGTAGACATTTAAAGAAGAATTAAATTTTATTTTTAATATTCTTGTGATGTCTTCTGGGATCCACCACCGCCGGTGTTTGTCTTTTTTGGTAATAAAACTGCTTGAATATTGGGCAATACACCACCTTGGGCAATGGTAACACCCGATAGAAGTTTATTTAACTCCTCGTCATTTCTTATAGCGAGCTGAAGATGTCTTGGAATAATTCTGAAAAAATAAGGAAGAGAAAAATAATTTTTTTTTTAAATTAATTATTTTTTTTTTTTTAGCAATTATACTTTAAAAATTTTTTTGCCCCAAGGAATAATTTTATTTTACACTCAATTATTATATTGACAAATTGCGTGAATTTATGAAAAATGAAAAACAATTTTTCTTTTAGAATAGAAAAAATAAGTTTTTTTAAAAAAGAAAGGAAATAAAAAATAGAATATTAATAAAAAAAATTTATTTCATTTTTCCCTGATTGAATCAGGGATTTATAATTTTTTTCCTTGACTCTAATGAAAATATATCAAGAGGTTTTTAATAATTGTAAAAAATTAAGGCAATAATTTTTAGAAACAAAAGTTTGAATTGAAAATTTCAAAAATTATAATTTTAGTAGAAATTTTTGAAAATTTTAGAAAATTTACTGAATTTTCTTTTTTTTTCCCTGACCGGAGAAAACTCTAATTATTTATTTAGAATTTGCTTTTCTTTAAAAAAAATTTTTTTTTCTTTAATTGTTGAAATAAAAAATCCTGTTATTTTGGTTTTAAATGTAAATATAAAATTTCGAAATAAAAAATAACTGTATTAGGCATATTTATTATAAAAATGATTATTTATTTATATTAAAAAATTAAGTAAATTTTTTTTTATATATACGTAAAGAGAAATTTAAAATTAAAAGAAACCTTTAACTGAATATTATCTAATTAATAAAACCGTCAATTATCAAAACACATCGAAATATATAAATTTGTTTTGAAAAAAAAAAATATATATATAAAGGTCAATCGAATCTTGAAATGCCAACTAAAATTAAAATACAAATAATAACTGAAATATTACGAAATTGACGAATTTCTCATTTACAATAAATTTTACAATAAACAATAAATAAAAATAACAGATAATGAAAATTTAGAAATTCAAATACTTTTATAATTAATATTATATATATATATATTGAATTGAATAATAGGAAAACTAAAAATTAATAAAACGTATTTGGCCATTTCAATACGATGCATAATTTGAAGAAAAAAAATTCAATATTTAACCTATAAAAGTAAAAAAAAATCTCTAGAAAGAAAATAAAATTCTCTCTAAATCGAAAGCATCGAAAGGATATTTTGAAAAATATACTAAATCAATACAAAAGAAAATTTCGAGAACAATTCAAAAAGGCACTCACCTCGATTTTTTATTATCACGTGCAGCATTTCCTGCCAATTCCAAAACTTCAGCCGCTAAATATTCCATAACCGCTGCCAAATAAACTGGTGCCCCAGCACCAACTCTCTCGGCATAATTACCTTTTCTCAAAAGACGATGAATTCTTCCAACTGGAAATTGAAGCCCAGCACGATTACTGCGTGACTTTGATTTTGCTTTTGCTTTACCTATATAAGTTTTAAAAACGAAAATTCATTATTATCTCACATAACAAAAAAAAAAAAAAAAAAAGTAAAATAATTACCTCCTTTGCCACGGCCAGACATTTTTAATAGATTTACAAAAAAAAAAGACGAATTAGACAAAAGAAAATATGATAACGTTCCTATAACGACAGATGTTGAATAAAGAATGGACAATCGAACAAGTTATTTTTTTGGTTAAGGTTCACACTACTTTTGTTACCCCGGTGGGAAAACGGCGTTCTTGGCGCTAGTATCGCTTCTATTTGCGCGGGATTTTCCATTCCGGAAGCAGATGATTTTAGTATGAGTATGCGCAAAATGATTTTTTCCCCTTCGTCCAATTAAATTAGTTGGCGGGTATTTTAAAATACAAGGAAATTTTCAAAAATTTCCCCTCTACCATTTAAGTAGTTTATTGATTGGTGCGCATGCGCGGTCAAACGGAAGTCGATAACAGCGCCCACTGCCTAATTATCGATTTTGAATTTGAAAATTCTTGATTTCCGCATATGAACGGTGTATAAAAAATGTAAAGAAATAAATTTCGTTTTGTCTATATGTTGTCTATTTTGTCAAAAAGTATGTCATTAAAAATATTCTTTCCATGTATTTTGATAATTAGATTCCGAGTGTTGTGAAAATATAAGAAATTGCGATTTATTCATATAAGTGACAGTCGAAGCTGATTTACTATAGAGGTTATGTTTTTCGAAAGACAGAAATGTTTTTGCATTATAATATTGTTATTTTTAAATGATTGACGTAAAATTATTGTAATTTCGAGGATTCTAATGATGTAAGTATGTACATTTTTATAAAATTTAAAATATAATATAAAATACGTTGCCAAAATGCAACAAAAATAATAGTGATAAATTTTTGGCGAAGAAAATTATTTCTCTCTTGATTTGAATTTTTATCTTTGTTTTTTTTTTTTTTGAAAATTGACGTTTTAATTTCAATTTTTCGAAACATTTTTGTTTCGTTTTAGATAAAAATTTTCTTTGCACTCCAAATAAATTAAATAATTTTTTTTTTTCATTTATAACAAATATTTTATTTTCTATTTGGATATTTTTAGATATAAACAATACTTTAACAAAAAAATAAATAAAAATATTGTTTCAAAACATTTGTAACTTAAAATTTTTTAAAATTAATTTGATGGTATGTTAATTTTTTTTTATTTTAATGTTTAACTTACCTTTATAAAAAAATTAAAAGCAATTTGTCTTCTCTGATCTTCTCAATACCCACCAATGAAATTATATTTAAATATTTATTTACTATTTTTTGTAAATTATCAAATATAAAGTTCATTCGATAAAACTTTACGCGTTTAAATATTTACATTATTATTTTTAATTATATAAATTTTATTTAAAGAGAAAATTAATTATTTCTTTTCGAAATCAATTTTTTTTTTCTTTAATAATTAAAAATATACAAAATTCAAATTTTTAAAAAATTGTAATTAGTAATTATCAAAAATTTTTTTTTGAATTTAAAAATTTTAAAGATATTTTTAAAAATTTCGATTCGAAAAAATGTTTATATTCAAAATTCTGATAATTAACATTGAAGTTTAATTTTTAAAAATTTGCATAATAATTAACATATATAAAAGTTCAATTATTAAAATTTTTCAAAATTTTTATACAGTGTACAAAAAAATTTAATTAAATTAAATTTATAATTAGAAATATTTTTAATTGAAAAAAAAATATCCGCGCTATCAAAAATAAATTAAATATTACACATATAAGGTGAAATGAAAAATAAATTGAAAACAATTGAATTGAAATTTTCAATGGTTTACTTCTAGGCTCTCATTTTGGCCAGATCAAGAACGACAAAACAATATTGTCGATCTTTATTTTCTTATACACGGTACATAAAAATAATGATATTTACAAATGTAGGACAATGTTAGGCACTCAATAAACAAAAAAAAAAAAAAAAAAAAAAATTATTAAAAAGTATAGACGGTCAGTTCTTCGCATAGGCTGGAAAATCCATTGAGAAGTGCCATTCCAAATATAATATATATATATAGTTAATATAATGAAGAATTGCTCGTGTATAAAATAGCAATTCCCAAATGCTTTTTCCTGCAATCGAATAAATAAATAGCAAGCAAACGTAAAATTCGATATTGTTTTTTCTATCATTATTATAGTTTTGAAAAATTTTCCACATTTTGAACGATTTTCAAATTCTCTAATAGAAATTTATTTTAACTTTTTAATACATTTTTCAAAACATATTACTGTTATTATTATTATGAAAATATAATTATTTTTAATAATTATATTTATTATTATTAATATATAATTATATTATATAATATAATATAATAATAATATTTTTTTTTAATTAATATCAAAAGATTATTATTTTTGAAATTAAAAACAATTTTTAATTTAATTACAATCAATTCGATTTTATTTATTGTTTTTTTTATTTGTACCAAAGAAATTAAATTAAAAGCAGATGTGTTTAAATTGACAATAAATTTATATTGTTCGAATTGAAAACAATTAATTATTAGGAAAAAAAAAAATTCTGAAAACATTAAAATTAACGGAAAAAAAAAATGTTCAATTCGATTATTATTGGACGTGGAATGTTGGATTGATTATTAAACGAGCATTCAATAATGGAATGTACTCCTCTGGAGTCTCAAGCAATTAAGTCACATTATCTAAGTACCTCGATTTAAAATTCTTAAAAAAATGCGATAACTGGCCTTTTTTGTTTTCCATTGGAAACAAGGGTAACAAAACGAAGGATACGTCGTAATTAACTTAACTAAATTAAAAAAAAAAAAAAAAACAACAACAACACCTTTTTTCTCTAAAAATTACAAAATTTCTTTCTCTCTTTCTCTTTGTTTTTTTTTTCATTGATCTAAGAGCTTATAAAATACAGACATCGCAAAGGAATCCCTTCTGTGAATTTTTTTTTTTTTATAGCAATAGTTGATGCTTTTGAAATAACAAAATAATTTATTTGAAAAATTTCAAAACCTCCTTTTTTTTGAAGAGAGAGTTTTGAAATTGATTTTTTTGTCACATTGATATTTTTTTTCGTCATCATTCATATTATTGCGCTGTGTGATAAATATCGATCTCGCGATACTTTTTTTTATGTAAAAATGTGACGACGTCCCTTCGAGTACGATATACAATATCAAAGTTCACATTACAGTGAACGAAATAAGTTACACGGTGCTTTGTTTTCTATTTTTTTTTCTTCTTCCTCTTCTTCTTCTTCTTCTTTTTCTTCTTTTTCGTTAAAATATTATGATACAAATTACAATTATTTATACCTGGAGCTTAAGGGCTATTGGTCAGAAAAATTTTGTTTTTTTCAAGACACTTAAAAAATCATTAAAATTTCATTTAAGAAAACTTTTTTGTTTTCGTAGTTTTCTTTTTTTTTTTTTACTTTGATATGATTTTTCCGTTGAATTAATATTCTAATACTTTTCTATTCGTATGTGATAGGAAAAAAATATCGACATTTTGCAAAAATTAATTTAACAAAAAGAATTAATTAATAACAAAATGAAAAAAAAACATTTTTAAAAAGGATATTAAAAAATATTTAAAAGAGAATTTTAACAAATGTTATTGAAATTGTTTTTGAGAAAATAAAATTATTTTAATCGAAATTCTAAAGAAAACAGATATTCAAAAAAATCGAGAATTAAAAATCATTAAAATATTGCACAGAATTTATTTCACAAATATAAAATAAAAAATTTAATCTATCGATATTTTTTTCATAAAAATTGAGTTATTAGAAAAAAAAATGAAAGCGTTTTTTTGAAAAAAAAAAAAAAAAAAAAAATTGATAAAATAAGAGTGAAATGAAAATTTTTATTGTTTCACAACTGTTTTATGTACCAATGGCCCTTAACCCTTTGATAATATCACAGATGAAAGAATTTCCGTGTTGTGCGTTGCGCATCGCTACCTAAGAGCCCTGACAAGTGCATTGATCCTTTCAATCTTTTGACTAAGGACACGTTTTTCGGAATCGAGCGATGTTCTCAAGTCCACCAATTCATACCATCTTCTTTCCAACTGCATGGCTTCGGATCGCAAACTATTCGTTTGTGCCACCAATTTCGAAGTTTGAACACTCAATATTTTTTTCTCCATTGCCTTTTCTGAAAAATTGAAAAAAAAACAAAAAAATTACTATCACAATTACTTCATTTTATTTTGTCTAAAAACTACTTAAAAAGAGAATCCTAAATGTTTAAAATTTTTAATATTTCAAATAGTTAAAAAAAAGTTATTTTATATTTTTGTGAATTCTAAATTCTTGTGCTTTTTTTGTGAATGATAAAATAAATTTCATTTCGAAAAAAAATTTACACAAGGGATGCATAAAAATTTAGAAACAATTTTTCGTTAAATTTTCAGAGTTTCGAAATTTATAAAATCGAATTTTTCTATTTAATCAAAATATTAATTAAGAGAATTTTTGTTTAACCAAATTTAACTTCGGCGAAGTTTACAATATTTATAACAATCGTCGATTTAGAAGAAAATCTATTTTTCTAAACGAATTATTATAATTTTTCTGATAAAAAAAATTTCTGTTTACTCGATCAATAATTTTTCAAAAAAAAAAATTTGTTGGACTAAAATTTTATCATTTTTCAGACAAAAAAATACATATTTAATACTGAATTTTCAGATGTATTTAATTTTTATTAGAATGTTGTTTAAAAGAAATTATATTCAATATTAAATTATCTGAATAACTTTTATTTAACTAAATTTTATAAAATAGAATTTTCATTGAACCAAATTTTCACAAAGAATAATTTTTATGTAACTGGAATTTTATATTATTTTAATTTAATCGAATTTAAAGAATAATTTTTATCCAACCGAATTTCCATAAATTATTTTCATTAAACCAAAATTTCACTTGAGAAATTTTTTATTTTAATCAAATTTTTATAATATAAAATTTATATTGTATTTAATTTACCGAAAAATTTGAATTTATCCAACATTTTTATTAGGAAAATTTTCTATTTAACCAACATTTTCGTAGGGGAATAGTGTCAGGGTTGGACACTTGTCAGGGTTGGACACTTGGCTTTTTTTAAATAAGAACACTAGCGCCACCTGTGTGCGTACGTGACGAATATTCAAGTAGTATTAGCTAACTTTTTGTGGCATTACATTTTTGGAGAATCAAAAGTAGCGTCTCTTGTGACTTCGGTGCAATCGAAGAGACAAAAAAAGTTTTGTTTGACTTGTGAATAAATCTAAAAAATGTGTAAAAAAAGCAAGAATTCGGCAAGATAAGCTTATTGAATGTATTGTGGGGTACATAATTTAAGAAGAAAAAAAGTGAAAAATCGAATCGCGACACATGTCTAGTTATGGTTAGCACAATTCGAAAATGATGCTTCTAGTTAGGGTTGGACACTTTATACAGTTAGGGTTGGACACCCATATTAATTATGAATTTGACACAATTTTTAAATAAATATACAAATAAATTTTATTTTATTGATATTTCAGTGCAAAATTGTGCCAAAGATATTAGAAAAATAATACTTAAATTGTATAACTTTTGTTCATCATTTCATTGAGTTATTTGGAACAATAAAGCGTTATTTTTTATAATTTGAGTTCATTCCTTTTTTAAACCCATGAAGCTTTACAATTTGTAAACAATAAGTAAAGATAAACATGAAAAAATAAGAATAAAAAACATTACAAATGTTATTTTACGTTTTTACCAATAATGCGTTTCGATTTTCAAAAAGTGTCCAACCCTGACTGAAAAGTCCAACCCTGACTAGATTTTTTTTTTTTAAATGTTTATAACTTTTTTAATTTTGGACCAATCAATTTACGGTCCACAGCAAAAGTGTTCCTCTTTTGTAGATCTTTCCACCCATATACCACAATTGACTGAATTTATCTAAACAAAATATTTATAAACAAAAAACCAAAACTGTGTCCAACCCTGACACTATTCCCCTACTTATTAATTTTTTATTAAACCAAAATTTTACTTAATGAATTTTCTATTTTAACAAAATATTTCAGGCACATATTTATTAGAACATTTATTTTAAATGAAAAAAATTTGCGATTTTTTAATTTTCCAATTTGGGCTGAAAAAATTCTTAAATAATGTTATTATTAATTAAATTAATTAAATTGCAATATATCAATTCTACTTTATAAATTTTTTATATATGGGCAATTCCACGTGAGATTTACCTATGACCTTTTAAATTCGTCTAAATATATTTTTTTCTTATTCTTTGCAGAAAAAAAAGGTTTAAGTATTTTTTAATTTTTTTATAAGTACTCAAATTTTCGAGTTATGAATTTTTAAAAATCTGATTTTTTCAAGTTTTTTTGAAATACACCTAATTTTAATGACATATAACACAAAAAGTATTGAATTTAGAAATTATGATTAAGATACAAAAAAGTTTAAGTTTTTTATCAACTTTCAAAATATGTTCACGAAAAAAAAAAATTTTGAATTTGTTTATAAAAAAACAGCGATTTTTCATAAACAAATTAAATTTTTTTAAATTTAGGCGCGATTTTTTTTTATTTTTTTAAAATTTTTACACACATGAAAATCAAAAGAAAATTTTGTAATAAGATTTGAAGTGGGCCTGATGATCCTTTTGTTTATATGATTTGTTTAAAAAAAAAATTTTACTTTTTTTTTTTATTTTTCAAAATGAAAAGTGTTTTTGACACAAGTATCTTCAAAAAAAACTTTAAAAAATCAGATTTTTAAAAATTCATAACTCGAAAATTTGAGCACTTATAAAAAAATAAAAAAATACTTAAACCTTTCTTTTCTGCAAAGAATAAGAAAAAAATATATTTAGACGAATTTAAAAGGTCATAGGTAAATCTCACGTGGAATCGTCCATATATAAATTTAAATTTATATTCAATAAAATAATAATATTATTAATAATATAATAATACTTCAATAAAATATTGAATAAATTCGGTTTTATGAAATTCGATTTCATAATTTAAATTAATAATTTTTACAGAATATTGTCGTGAAAAGAATATATGCAAAAAAAAAAAAAAAAAATATTACTAAATGAACGGTTTTTGGCTAAAAAAAAAATTCAATGGAGTTGATTTTTTTTTTTTTCATAATAATTTTTACCTTTTTGATAATCCTTGTAGGCTTGAATCACATCTTCGATTCCATTCCACTTGGGCCTATTATCGCTATTATCACTAGCCGTATCATCGGCATCGTCATTATTTATTTCCGAAAATTTATAATGTTTCACTCCATTTTCGCCTGGCATTGGAAGAATTGGATAATATGTTGACACGATATTAGGTACCAAGGGCGGAAGTGGTGGCGGTCTTTCTGGTATATGTTTGACTTTAATTTTATCCAAAAGTCTCATTCTTTGCGGTGGTTTTGGCGCCGATGGTGGATTATTTGAATAAACTTTAGCGATACGATCACAATATGCAGTAACAGTATTCATGCTTTTTCTCTTTTTGCGATCTTGTAAAATATATTGCCATGTAATTTCTGCTTCTACAAAAATTTCATTGTTTTATTAATTTATTATCATTTAATAATTAATTTTTATAATTACTATTTACTGTTGGTATTCAAAATTAAATTATTATTATGACTATTATACTAGTTAAAATTAATTATATTTTCTTTTATTAATTGAAAATTAATTATAATTCATATATATTATTATTAATTATTTTTCATTTATTGAAACTTAAATTTTGAATTGTAAAATTAAAAAGAAAAATAAATTACCATCTCTTTTGCTTGGTGGCATTATGTCGAGACCGATATTCTTTAAAAATCCAACTTTTGGCACAAAATCGGTTGAATGAAGCAAAACATCTGGATGTTCTCTTGGAATTGGCAATGCCGATTCTAATGCTGGCTCAATTTCTAATGGCGGTTCTGGTGGATCAGGATTTAATCTGTATCGTTTTTCCACTTTATATAATTCCATTTCTGAAAATTACAATTATTAAAATTAGAATATTATCCAATCATGGAAAAATACGTATTTTTAAAATAGTCAACAATTTTCCAACGCCTTTTTTCACGGTTTATTAATTTAATTTTCTACTTAATGTAATTTTTGTAATAAAAATTTTTTTCAGCTAATTTTTAAACATTTAAATACAATTTTTCAAAACTTAGTTTTATTACTGTTTATTTATAATATTTATTTTTCTATTTTTATTTACTTTCTTCGTTTATTTATTTAATATTAATATTAATTATTATTTTTAAATTAAATTATTACTTAATTTAAAGAAAATTTAACTAAAAATAGTTAAATAATTATTGAAATAAATAAATATAATAATTAATTAATTATTATTGGCTAATAATAATAACTATTGTGTAATAATTAGTTTCTTAGTAATGAAAATAATTTCGAATTAAATTTTGTTGCATTTATTTTGAATTTTCCCGCCACTATTTTCGAAACATTGAAACTTTCTAATTCTACTTTTATATGCAACCAATAAGCTTCTGCAAAATTCGATAGTATCGAATCTGTATTCGATAATCCATTCAATATTATCGAAAGCGAATTGAGTTTTGGGAAAAACCGACCTACAAATATTCACAATTTTTGTGTTTATTTATTTATTTAAAAAGTTGAAAATAATTTTGATTTTATGTTTCTTTTTGAAAATGTTTTTAGTTTTATTAATTTTAATAATTCAAATTTGATTCTGGGTCAAACCATTATATTTCAACTAAAGTGGTCGCTGACTAATTTTTAAAAATTATAATACTTTGCAGGAATGATTTTGAAGTTATCAAGATCACGAAATGAAAAGAATTTTATTAAAAATTTAAATATTTATTGTAAAATATGAATTTAAAGTATATGAGGTGCTAAAAACTGTCAATTTTTTAGCCATTAGAAAATATGCAAAAAAACATAGAATTTACCATAAAAATAAAAAAAAATTATTGGAATTTACTAAGAATGAATAAATTTATCATTATCAATTGATATAATTATTTAAAGATGTGAAGTAATATATAAAATATGATTTCCAAGTGCACCTGTCAAATAACCTAATTTTGCGATTTTTATTCATTAATTATAAAAAATAGAAAACATTAAATTAAATAAAAACTTACCAAATATGAAGTTCTTGCCATAAACTTTTAGAATTTCTTTGCACTTTTCTTCTTTTCTATTCATAAGTATGAAAAATTTTAAAAATAAAATAGCTACTTTGTCTATTTTCACTATTTTTGAAAGTCAATAACTTTCTTGGAGAAAAATGAAAAAATATGGGGTTTCGAAAATTATTTAAATACACACTACATATACATTCACTGAAAATTTCGCATTGGTCCCGAAGCTATTTTCGAAGATAAAGTAAATTAAAAATTTCGTATTTTTTAGGCTATATTGACATGGGTTTTAAAGGTATTAAATCAATGTGAAGTTTGTCGTCACCAGTGAACCACCTTCACATTGATTTAAAATCCATGTCAATATAGCCTAAAAAATACGAAATTTTTAATTTACTTTATCTTCGAAAATAGCTTCGGGACCAATGCGAAATTTTCAGTGAATGTATATGTAGTGTGTATTTAAATAATTTTCGAAACCCCATATTTTTTCATTTTTCTCCAAGAAAGTTATTGACTTTCAAAAATAGTGAAAATAGACAAAGTAGCTATTTTATTTTTAAAATTTTTCATACTTATGAATAGAAAAGAAGAAAAGTGCAAAGAAATTCTAAAAGTTTATGGCAAGAACTTCATATTTGGTAAGTTTTTATTTAATTTAATGTTTTCTATTTTTTATAATTAATGAATAAAAATCGCAAAATTAGGTTATTTGACAGGTGCACTTGGAAATCATATTTTATATATTACTTCACATCTTTAAATAATTATATCAATTGATAATGATAAATTTATTCATTCTTAGTAAATTCCAATAATTTTTTTTTATTTTTATGGTAAATTCTATGTTTTTTTGCATATTTTCTAATGGCTAAAAAATTGACAGTTTTTAGCACCTCATATACTTTAAATTCATATTTTACAATAAATATTTAAATTTTTAATAAAATTCTTTTCATTTCGTGATCTTGATAACTTCAAAATCATTCCTGCAAAGTATTATAATTTTTAAAAATTAGTCAGCGACCACTTTAGTTGAAATATAATGGTTTGACCCTTCTCAAAAATGAAATATTTATTAAAAGAAAAATTTTGAAAACAAAAAATATTATTTTCAATCCTAAATACTTGAGCTGTTTTGTTGCATAATAAACGGAAATATTCTTAGTTTTTTGTTTTGGGAAAAAAAAAAAAATGTATTTATATAAAACAAAAATTACCATTTTTGATGCTAAGTGTCGTCAATCCAAACATTGCAAGAAAGGCAAGTTTCTCATCGGAATATTGTGGCTTCGACGGTGGTCCTTTAGTAATCCAAAGATCAATTTCCTTTGTTTCATCATCTTCCGATTCCGAGTGACAATTAGTAGTTGTTGTCGTTGTTGTTGTTGTTGTAATGGTGGTGGTAGTTGTAGCAGCAGTATTTGTTGTCGTTGTAGTGGTAGCTCCATTATTTTTTTCCCGTTTTCTTTTTCGTCGCTTCTCTGCTAAATCAAGTGATGATCGTAATTTTTTCGGCGACTCGGGTACACAGAAAAATTTCTCACTCTCATCTTCTTCTTTCTTCACTAATGCCTTACTAACATCCGGTACATTTAAAACTGCCGGCTCATATTTCATTGATATTTCCGTTAAATTATTGCACTTGTCAGTGATGCAAAAGGCTGTTGTTTTAAGTTCGTTTTGTGAAAAATTTAATAGCTTCTCTTGATATTTAGGTATTTGTAAAAGTACATTTGAAACATTTTGGCAGGTGCGCAACACCTCCTCTGATTTAATGCTCTGCATTAATTGTGCAGTATCAATAGGTTTTTGCGTAACATTTTCATTTAAACCGAATTTAAATTTTGGTTGAAATGGTAATGTGAACATAACTGAATTTTGTTCATTATTATAATTATTTAAATCAATTTCTTTTTTGCTTTCCTTCTCGCATAAATTTTCCTTTAATGGTTCAAAAATTGCTTGTGGCGTGACAATTTTATCATTAAATTGCGATCCATTCTGATTAATATTGTGATTCTGATTTAAAATTTGACTTTGACTCTGATTATGAATTTGATTTTTTGACAAAATTTGACTATGATTTAAATTTTGTTTTTGATTTGAATTCTGATTTAAATTTTGATTTTGACTATTTGTTATTTGGTTCTGATTCATTGTAATTTGGCATTGATTTGAATTTATTTGATTGTGAATTTGTTGTAATTGATTTGAATTTTGGTTGATATTTAAATTTTGATTTATAATTATTTGACTCTGATTGTGTTCATGATTAAAATTTTTACTCTGTTCCTGATTTAAAATATGATTTTGACTTAAATTTTGATGTTCTTGAATTCGATTTTGTATTTCATTTTCTTTTTCAATTTGTTTTTCTCTTGTTTTCTCGAATATTTCCTTATTTTCCTTCTCGGGATTATTATTATTTTGTGTATTAAACATTTTTGAATTTGGAGGCACATGATTTAGATAATAATTGGCGGAAGGAGCAATTTTTCCCTCATTATTATTGACTGATGATGAATGTTCATTTCTTAATGTATTTGAAGATTCTCGAGATTCACTCGTGTGTTGTGTATGAATTTTTGTACTTAAATTACCAATGTTGGCATTGCTGTTCGTTTCGATATTTCCGTTTGAATTTGGAGTGGTAGTAGTGGATAAATTTAATTTCGACGACTGGTGATGTTGATGGTGTACTGGGGGTGAGGAAAAGTGCGGTGGTTTATATAAACTTGGCACATGAGTGACGGGTATGTGGGGATGATGAAATGGCGGTGGATAGGGAATTGGTTGAACCATTTGATGTTGATGGTTTGAGTCAATTCGTGTTTTTGAGATGGAATCTTTGCAGGACGTTTCAGTGATTTGATTTGTAATTGAGGGTGCAATTGACACGTATGTTTTCATCATTGAATCCTGAGTGGTTTGATGATTTGTTATAATTTGTGATTGATGATTATTTGTCAAATTTCTTTGTAGAGGTTTTGTCGTTGAACGAAAAGAATCCTCAAATGGTCTGACAAATGCGTGTTGAGGATTTGTTGAGGTTGTTGTTGTTGTTACTGTTGTCGTTGTTGTTAATGCTGTCACTGACATTACTGTACTTATAGGCGTTGAAAGTGTTATTGATGGAGATTCTTTACTCCTTGCGTGACAACTGTGAGAAATTGGTGACAATTTTCCGGCGTTGGCTGTTAGATTGCCTGAAAATAAAACTGTTTTTATAACAAAAACATATATAACCTCCAATTAAAGTAAAGGATTGATAAATGTGAACAAAAAGGAAAAACATTGAACTGAGCGTACTTCCAATCGAGATTCTACTATTTTTTTGCCTTTTATAAAATTAAGGTAAATTGTTTAATGATTTTTGAATAAAAGTTGAGACGTGTTAATAATTACGGCTTCTCAACTTCAGTGACAAAATGTATGCGGGGAACTTTTGAATTGAAAGAACTTCCAGTGAGAGATTTGTTTATTAGTATATAAAGAAGTTTTCTGTAAAATATTAAACCATTTAACATAAAACTTTAGAAAATATAATAGTTTTAAAAAAATTTAACTTGCGCGTCACCGCAGTGAACGCGCCATGTTTTCTCACGCATAGAAGGTTATGGTTTTGTTTAAGGCACTCTCACACCTTTTTGGCTGCCTGCAGGTTACCATGGCAACGCATGAGAGTGAGTGCGACAGAAAATTTAAAAATTTGAATATTCAAATTTTCTGTCTCACTCACACTCGTGCGTTGCCATGGTAACCTGCAGGCAGGCAGGCAGCCAAAAAGGTGTGAGAGTACCTTTACATGCATAACGATTTTTGCTCTTTCATTGGCGATTCAAACAGCTATACTAGCGCCACAGTTGAACTAACGTAAGCGTGACTCGCTCTAAAGCAATCTCAGTTTTGACAGTTTATTTCAAATTATTTAATTATTCTGATATTTTTATTGCGTTTGTAAAATAATTTTTAAGCGTTAAATAAAAAAAATAATTTAAAACACATGGAGTGCTACAGAGCGAGTCACGCTTAAGTTAGTTCAACTGTGGCGCTAGTGTAGCTGTGTTTGAATCGCCAATAGTAACCGGCTTTCACAAAAAAGTAAATCAAATATTTAGCGATTTTTTATTCTTATTTTAAAAAGTCTGATTTATAATTATGACAGAAAATAATTCTCATGATAGAAAAAGAATTAGAAATGAAAGTGCCTGGAAACAAAATAATCGAAAAGCAACGATAATTATATTCTATATGGTTAGTTTCACAATGGGCTAGACACAAGGCAATGATTAGCATTTTAAAGGTCTGAGCAGAATAGAAACGTAACCGGAATAGTAATCGCAAAAAGCAACCGGAAGAATGAGTTAGAGAAGGATAGACATATTGTTTGTCCTTCTCCAACTCATTATTCCGGTTACAATTCCGATTACGTTTCTATTCTGCTCAGGCCTTAATGCGTCTACGCTGCGTTTGTCGTTTGCGCCGAGCCCATTGTGGAACTAACCTATATTCTATGCCTGAGAAAACATGGCGCGTTGACTGAGGTGACGCGCAAGTTACATTTTTTTAAAACTGTTATATTTTCTAAACTCTTATCTTAAATGGTTTATTATTTTACAAAAAACTTCTTTATATACTAATAAACAAATTTCTCACTGGAAGTTCTTTCAATACAAAAGTTTCCCGCATACATTTTGTCACTGAAATTGAGAAGCCGTAATTATTGACACGTCTCAACTTTTATTAAAAAAAAAAATAATTAAACGATTAATTTTTTTTTGAATTTTTAATTATTTTATCAGCTTCTATGGACACAAATACACAAATCTCATTTAATTTCATAAATATTTGTTCAAGATAGGACGATTTATGTTTTAAATTTCAATGAAATTGAGAATGAAAAAAATTTCAATTTTTCTTTATTATTTAAAAAAAAATAATAATAATATTCCGACAAAAAAATGTCAAAGACAAAAAAGTTGCGCAATTTTTGTCCTCTACATGGTAGTGCGTTTAAAATTTTAAATTTCCAAATTTTTTTTTTCACTTTTGTACGGTCTTGACTATAGAAATTCTACAGGTAATGATAGCAATAATAAAATTGTTGTTAAAAAAATTGATCAACAAAATAAAGTAATTTTATCTATTCTTATTAAATTTGGACGAATATTTAAAATTGTAGAAATAAAGTTAATAGACCCTGAGTGACTATACACCGCAGTGAGAAGAGAAACATTGTCATGCGAAAGTAAGAAACTTTTCTCATCGATAAGTGAGTGAAATCAAGGTTGCCAACCTAGAAGACGTGTTGGTAAGGTAGGTATTGAATTTTTCCTTAAGAAACTATTCAATACCTACTTTACCAACACGTCTTCTAGGTTGGCAACCTTGATTTCACTCACTCATCGATGAGAAAAGTTTCTTACTTTCGCATGACAATGTTTCTCTTCTCACTGCGATGTATAGTCACTCCATAAAATTGATGATACACCTCTTAAATGTAATGAAAAAATTACTAAATCTGTTGAAACCCCTGGATTGCTTATTCTTAGTCTACTTTCGTTAAAATTGTGTGATTTTTGGAATTTTCATAACTGAATTGGTATTTTTTTTTCGATTATTGTAAAATAATTACCAGAAGGTGAGACGCCGGGAGTGGTTAGAGAATGAGTGACGTGAGTTGTCATCATTCCACTTGCTGATAAAGTGTTAACAGTCGTTGTACATCCAGTCGAGTGGATTCGATGTTGAGGTGGTGGTTGTTGTTGTTGTTGTTGTTGATATAATGAAGAACTGGCCGTAGAAGTCGTACTCAAAATTGTGGCTGTATGTTGACTAGAATGAATGGTACATGTTGGTACTGGTGGAAGGTGTAGAGAAGGTATTGAGATAATTGGAGAAAGTGGGATACTTAAGGATTGTGGACCGATAACGCCTGGTCCTAATGTGGGAATAGGAGGTGGACCACCAATTGATGCTGAGCTTATTATCGGTGATGGTCCAAGATTTAGGGAAGGTAAATTTGAGCCCATGGGTGATGGAATTGGCGCTGAACTAACGGGAACAGAACCCATTGACTGTGGTTGTTGTTGTTGTTGTGGTGGACAAATTGGTGTTGTTGAATTTGGAAATTGAGATAGTCGTGAATGATAGAGGCTCGTTGATGGATCCGACGACGATTGTGGAGGAGGATGAGGAGGAGGAAGAAGCGATGAAGATTGTTCTTCCTTCCTTTGATGATGACTGACGCTTGTTGTGGTCCCTCCATTTGAATTAATATTACTAGAATTGCTGTTGTTATTGTTATTGATCGTCGTACGATCCCTCTCACGTTCCCTTTCACGATCACGCTCCCTCTCGCTGCTGTGCAACTGAGCCGCTATGGTCGGCTTCCTAGCTGGAACAAATCCCGAACACAGTGCTTGGTAACATTCCACTAAATATTCCATAACGCTAACAACGCGTAAAGAACATTCCAAGTCTTTTTTGTGACACTTAAAAAAAAAAAAAAAAAAAATTCAGTAAATTATTTGAAAAAAAAATTGACATAAAAAATAAAAAAAAAGTTGAATTTATTAAGGATTTGTGGGTAGAAATTTAAAAATTTGATATTTTCTCTCGGAATATTCTTTTTGCGTTTTATGTATACATAAATAATAAATAAATGTAAAAAAGAATTAGGGGTGGGGGAGGTCGTTAATTATAGGAATGAAAGAGATGAATTTTAAACTCATTAATATATAATCATTACAAATATTTATGTTAAAAAACAGTAATTTTTTTTCATATACAGAATATTTTTGTTTCTCGTGCAAAAATCAAAAAAGAAAAAAAAAAATCTTTTGATGTCAGAAATGATTATACCTTACTTAGAAAACATATATATCTATATATAAAGAGTTCAGCAGTAAGTGGACAATAAAAGAGAGAGATATTTTTCAATCTTACCTTTTTCATTATAGATTATGTAATAATTTTACATTTTCATTACATATTTTACAGCTGCAATCCTTTTCTGATACGAGAAGGAATTTGTTTATATATATATAATTAATAAAATTAAAAAACAAAATACTTAATAACTAGAAAAGAAATTAAATTGTTTTTTTTTTTATTTAATATTTTTCAAAAATATTGTCAATAAATAATTGCCTAATGAATTAAAAATTCACCTCTTTCTGATCTTGATTATATTTTATAGTAATGATAATAAATAAATTAATCCTGTAAAATATTTTTTAAATAATTACATTTTTGCTTTTAACAAAATTACAAAAATAAACATAAATTGACTATAAAAGATGACATTGTTAGATTGAAAAGAAAACGTAATATTATTTTTGTATACATTTTTCTTTCTTTTTTTTTTTTTTTGACAAAAGAAACCTTTATTTCGGCGAGGTAATCGATTTTTTTTTTTACACTTTTTATTACAAGTATATTAAAATTGAATTATAACTATTTACAATTTACAAATAGTAATTAAAACACAAGATTTTTCCTTATTTGTATAAATATAAAATAAAACAAAAAATTTGTTTTACAAAATTTGAACTAAATTTTCAAAATAAGCACATTTTTTGAAACTTTCATTTTAAAAAGACAAATTACAAGTCCATAATAAAAAAATCATGTAAATTTGTTTAAAATAAGATTTGAAATTTGTTTTCTTTTTTAATTAAAGTAGTTTCAAATAATTTACTTGTTTTACAAAAAATTCTTATAAAAAAGTGAAGAAATTTATTTCACAATTATTAAAAGAAAAAAAAAAATATTCGTGATGCCCTTGAAAACTTACCAATATTGTTTGTTTTTTCTACCTTATTACGCTAATTAAATAACGATGAAGTATTGGGGATGATTACCGTCGATAAAAATTTTACAAAAAAAGTAACAAAAAAAAAAAAAAAAAAAAACGAAATGAAAATAGAAATGAATCACCGATAGCGATCGCAATCTCTTTTTTCGGGCAATTATTTATAATTATATCGATTTGACGCAAAACGAAAATATTTCTTTTTTTTTCTATTATATTATTATAGATATTTATGAATCTTCCCCAAAACTGTTTTTAAAAAACGGTTCAAGGGTCAAGAATATCAAGTCAATTAGAATTTTGATCACTTTATGCAATATTTATTTTTCAAATGATATTCCAAATATACATGTTTACATAATAAATTATATAAAAGTGATATAATTTTGACAAATGAAATAGGCGTCACAAAAGATTTTATTGTTTTATTTTATTTTTTTTTTCGTTTTTCTTTTTTAATATATATATGTACATCGGTTTATTCGGTCAGTGTAATAAGGATAGTGTTTTTCTTTCTTCTCTTCCTCTTCCATTGTCTTCAATTTTTTTTCTTTTTACAATAAAATAAAAAAAAATAAAAAAAAAAAAAAAAATAATAATAATACCTCGATGCGGAACATTTCTAAAACAGTTGCGGAAACTAACGCAAAGAGTGCAGTGCGCCTAACAAAAGAACAGATCCAAACATTCCAAAAAAATAAAAATAAAATAAAAAAACCAAACACCAAAAAAATATATTCCAAAGCAATTATTTTATATTTATAAAATATTTTACTAATAAATAATTGCTTTGAGACAATAAATTTTTTACACGAAGACATATTAAAATACTGTTTCGAATATTATAATCTAAAAAAAAAGAAAAAAAAAATTACGTCTCTAGAGAATAATAAAAATTACCTAATAATAAATTTGTAAAAAAGAAAATGTTATAAAATAACAAATATACACTAAATTCGTTAATCCATAAGGATTTTTTTTTTCTCTTGAAATCAATTAGGAAAATATACACGAGCCCTTTTCTTTTAGGTGTTGTGCACTCTTAGGTTTAAGTCATACAAAATACTTTTAATTAACTAACTACTCGATCCTTTTTTTTTTTTTTATTTTTTTTTTTTAGTGTGATTGTACAGTGACGGCTTATACATTTCGAATTAGCTTCAATTCTTGACCGAATTAGTCAAATGATTTTTCAACTAGACTGACCGAAGGCCGACTTATTTCGATATTTTTTTTTTTTTTTTCATTTCTTGGGTATCAAAGTTATTTTATTGGAACTATTTATAAGTCAGGCTTTGGTCTGATAAGTGTAAAACTGGGCGATCTGCTAAATCGAACCTTAGGAAAAATTTATTCTATTAATTCTAGTGGCACTATCATGGACAGTAGTTTTATGTTTAATTTGATTTTCGACAAATAATATTTGCATCTTAATCACAAGGATCGCTCTCAATTTTTCCTTTTTTTTTTTGTTTTTTAAATCGTTTTCTCGTCTATTTTTTCAATAATTGAAAAAAGGAAATTTTTCTTAAATTTCAGTTACTAAATCAATGTCAATCAACTGATTAGTTAATTATTTAATTTAGTAGTAAATTAATATATTAATTTAATTAACAAATTAATATATTATATTTATTGTATTAAATATAATACAAAATAATTAACTAGTTGATTGATTAATTTCAGTTATTATATAAAAAAAAAAATTTTATCAAAATAATTATTTAACTAATTGAATTAGCAATCTATTGACTGCATTACTATTAATAATAATATAATAATAATAATATAATAATAATAATAATAATATTAATAATAATAATAATAATAGTGATAATATGATTAAGTGGAGCAGATCTGTCTCGTGGAGCGCCCAGAGTCTTTCGTCTAAGAACATTAGTAAAAACATACCTATCACAAGTTCTAAGGAAAGCTTGGCAAAAAATAACAAATGTCGAAAGTCGCTGCCCCAATTCTTATCTAAATTTTTTTTTTCTTTTTTTTTTTTTATTATTAAATCTAGCTTCGTAAGAAATGAACTATAACTATAACTTTCATTAATTATAGTTTAAGATTAGAAGCGTAGTAGTTTTTTTTCTTTTTATTCATTTTCAATTTCTCTCTCACAGTCAGGTTATTTTATTTATTCATTATTATTATTATTTTTTTTTTCTTTTTTTTTTATGACTTTGTTTGCACAGTTCACCAAGTTCAATGGCACAAAAGAATTGAAACTATCGGATCACACTGCAACTACCCGTGTTTGAGAAAACGATCGCTTGGCATTCGATTACAAAGATTTTTTCAAGAAAAAAAAAAAAAATAAACAAAAAAAAAAAAATAATAATAATTAATCAAAAAGAAAAAAAAAACAAGCAAACCTGCGAAAAAAAAAATTCTTTTTTTTTTTATTTTCTTACTATTTTCCGTACTGACTCATTGTCCAAAAAAAAAAAAAAAAAAAAAAAAATCACTTAAAGCTCGTTCTCTCTCTTTTACACACACTCGCTCTCTCATTTTCTCTCTAAAAAAAAAAAAAAAAAAAAAAAAAATTCTCTACCGGATTCGGAATTTTCTTCTAGTAGATTTTTTTCACACTTTTCAGCTGTTTTAAAGACTAGAAGAATGATCTGGCATAATAGGGTTGTTCCTTTATGGTTTTTCTTTCTTTTTGTTTTTTTTTTTTTTCATTTTAATATTTGAGGATGAAAAACCAAGTTTTTCTTTCTGTGTTTTCATTTTCATATAGACTCATTTTCTTTTTTTTTTTGTTCGTAGCAAAACGACGATTTTATTCCTCCATCGTCTTTTGCTGACTAAAAATTACTAAAAATAAATAGACAAGGCTTATCAGATCGCGTGAGAATTTAGTAAATTTTTCCAGAGATTTTTGTTATTTTTTACCTCTTTGTTTTTCTAATTATTTATTCTAATGAAAAAATTTAATTCAATGATGATTTTTGTGATCATATGAAAAAAGAAAACAAAAAATGAAAACAAAAGCATGACAGACGATCTGATAAACCTCGACTTGTGCGTGACGTTTTTTCTTTCAATGGAAGGCAGTGGGGGGTGGAGCGACTCGCTCACCTGCAGTATCAGCAGATGCAGGCGCAGGTGCTGCGACAGGAGCTGTGGGAGCTGAATTTCGTGCAACTCTTCTCCTCTCCTCCTCCTCACGAAGTACAGCCTGCTCTCTTGCCTGCCTCAATCTGTGTTCCTCTTCCAGCTTCAGTCTGTAAATAAAGAAAATTCATTAGAAACATTATTTTTCTTTACATTTTAATTTTTTCTTTAAAAAAAAAAAAAAATAGTAATTTAATTCATAAAAACAATTATTTATATAGTTAATAATATAACTATAAATATATATCATCCATTTTCTTTTTTTTTTCTTTTATTTATCAAATAGAATTGAATCTAATTTTTGTATTACCAAAAGAATTTTTATTTAAAAAAAAAAAAAATTTTTAATTCTATTAAAAAGAATTTCTATTTAACTGATAAAAACTAATAAACTGTTAAAAAATAATATTTATTTAAACGAAATAGAATTTACGGAAATTTATTCAATTACATTTTTTAATCTAAAATCTATATATTGAAACGAATTTTCATATCGAAAAATTATTATTCAATCAAAAAAATAATTCTACAAAATTTCTATTTCACTGAATATTTTTAAAAATTGAATCAAATTTTCATAAGGAATAATATTTATTTATTATTAATATTTTATTTAAACGAAACAGAATTTTTGTTTAACCGAATTTACAGAAATTAACATTTTTTAATGTAGAATATTGAAACAAATTTTCATATCGAAAAATTATTATTCAACTAAAATATAATATTTTTTCAAAATTTCTATTTCACTGAATATTATAAAATTTACATTCAATCGAATTTTTAAATCGACGAATTTTTTTATTTAAAATTCTTGTTTAACAATATTTTCATATACCGAAAAAAAATTCTATTTAAAGGAATTTTCATTTACAACATTTCTATTTAATCAAATTTTTAAAGGACAGAATTTCCATTCTACCAAATTTGTTTTTAATTTTTATATGGACCAATTGATATTTGCTATATAATTCTTAAAACATCGAATTTCTATTTGAAAGAATTTTTATTTGTCGAAAAAAATCCCTTAGAAATATTTTAATTTGAATTTGAAAAAATTACTCATTCAAAAATTATTTATTACTAAATAAATTACTTTAACTTAAATAAAAATTTTATCAAATGAAAATTTGACTATTGAACTGAATTTTCATACTATAAAATTTTTATTTAACTGAAATTTTATTTAACATAATTTCTATTAAATCGAATAATTAATATAGAAGAATTTTTATTTTCTAACTAAATATTTTCAAATAGAATTTATATGAAAACCAAATTTTCAAAGAAAAATAACTTTTATTTAATCGACTTCATATTATTTATTAGAATTTTTGTTTAACCGATTTTTATAAAATATAGAATTTACATTTAACCAAATTTTATAAAGTAGAATTTTTATTTAATCGAATTTTCATACCTTATTGAAAAAATAGGAAAAAAAGTATTTTAATCTTCTTCTAAAAATTATAGAAAATTTTTCTAAATATAATTAAATAATTTCCTAAATGCCGAATATTTAAAATTTTCGAAAATAATCAAATTCGATTATCGTGAAAATTTGTAAAGTATTCAATGTTTGGACTTGTACAAATTTTCCACAATTTAAAAATAAATAATTAATAAATAATAAAAATTCTTATTTAAATTGGAAAAAAATTTTTTTTAACTTTTTTTGATAGTTTTGCAAATTAGAAAAAAATGTAAAATTTATGTTTATGTAAGTTTATAAAATTCTTGAATTCGAAGTTCTATGGTAATTTGAAAAATAATTAAATTCACGGTTTTTTTAAAGTCGAAAAAAATTTCAATCGTTTGCCAATTGAAAGTATTTAAAAATTAAGAGAATTTTCAAATTCAATGTAAATTCTTGTGTAAATTTCAAAATTGTCTATTTTGTAAATTTCAAAATTTTCTTCCTTTTAGAAATTTGTAAATTTCAAAAAAATACTTCTACGTGAATAATAGAGAAAAATTTGAAAATACAAATTTAATAAATTATTCAAATTCGAGAAAAATTTCAAATTTAAGTAAAAAAAATATTTTTTAAATTAAAAAATGAGCGTTGACAACAAAATTACAAACTCTTTAAATTTAGATCGATTTTTAATTTTGAAAAATAATTTAATTTTCAACATTCTATGTGAATTTATTTGAAAATTTTCATTTTATCTTGTTTGTAAAATAATTAACATAGAAAGTGGATGATATAATTTTTTTTTTATGAATAAATATTACAGAATAATTAATATAATTTTATCAATAGTAATAAGAATAAAAATAATATTTACCGTTCGTGCATCACCGGGGACATGAGACTTAGTGAACCCGGTGGCATCATGTCTTGACTATATCTCAATCCATAGAGAGGATATGATGGGAGACCAGGAAACAAGGGCTGTCTCAACATATTACATCTTTCCAAATACAATTGTTCTTCTATTCTGAAAGCATAAAGAAAAAAAATGCGATTTGAATATTTAAAAAATTCAGTTTCCAAATTTTTAGCATACAAATAAAAAATTATTCCCCAAATTTTTTTATTAATAATAATTTATTATTTTATTTTAGACGAATTTTAATTTCTTCGAATTAGCATTTGAAAGAATTTCTTTTTATACGAATTTTAATTTCACAAAATTTTCTTACTACCGAATTTTTGCTTGGCAGAATTTTTATTTTACAGTCATTTACTTTACATATGACTTTTTATAAAAAAGAATTTTAATTCGAATATTCCGATTCACCAAATTTTAATTTATACGAATTTTTAATTGATATAATTTCTAAGACGTCGAATTTTCATTTTTTAAAACTGACCAATCACAATTTTTTAGATATAATTTCTAATTGGTTAATTTTTGAAAATTCCACCGTAATCTTTCTGTCGATTTTCTCTTCGGCTATTTGTAATTTCGTACAAATGAAAATTCGTCGTCTTAAAAATTATATTAATTAAAAATTTGTACAAATAAAAATTCAGTGAATTGAAATTTATTTAAAATTAAAATTCTTTTACATAAAAAGTCCTGTAATGAAAATAAATGTAAAATAAAAATTCTTCTTTCTGTAAAGCAAAAATTCGGTAGCTAAAAATTTTTTTTATATAAAAATTCGTATAAAAAGAAAATCTGTCAATTAAAAATTTATAAAATAATTCATATTAAATGAAAATTCTAACAAATAAAAATTCTATGATGTAAATTTTCGGTTATATAAAAATTCTTATAATACAGAAAATTGGTTTAATGAAAATTCTATAAAAAAATAATAATTCGAAAAAATAAAAATTCGACTAAAAGAAAATTATATCGAATAAAAATTCTAATAATTGATTTTTAGAACAAATATTAATGCGGCCAATAAAAAAAACGTTTAAAGAAAATTTTTTTTTTAATTCTTACCTATAAGCGTGTTGCAAATGTGGCGGTGGGTAGAGACTATGATGATAAGGACTGTAGGCTGCGGGGTCCAGGGCGAATGGCGGTGGTGGTGCATGAGCGGGATGATGTTCGGGCCGATATGGCTGAAAACCAGATCTGGCCAGTAATTCGGAAGCTGTGGCAGTCACATTGTGTTTGCTGGTTTCAGCAGGCCTGGCAGTTGTATATAAAGAGGGTATTTCTTCTGGCCGACGCTCATGTGTCGTTCGCTCCTAAAACACAAAAAAAAAAATTCCCATTATTATTTTTTTCACAATTAAACTATAAATTAAAAAAAAAAATAAATAAACTTAAGAAAACTAAAAAATCACCTCCTGAGAAGATTTTTTAATTTAATTTAATTTACTACTAGCAAAATTAAACGCGCGCAAGCGCACCAAATTGAGTATTTAATTGTTTGTTATAAAGAAATTAAAGATTAATATTATCAATAATAATTTAATTTATAAGAATATTATTACATATTAACTGATAATAATGAAAATTATATGTTTACAGGCCTCGGATTATACGACTTTTTCCGACTTTTTTCAAAAATACGACTTTTATCGACTTCTTTTAATAAAAATGCGACATTTTTTTTACATTTTAAAAAAAATGTAAATAAAATACATTTTTTTAGTATAAAATGTAGATCTTCTTCAGTTCTTCTTCAATTCAATTAATTAACAAATTTTGAACTAAAATGATTCTTCACTAAATTAATTATTTTTAATAATTTTAATGAAATACATCACAAATTCAATTATATCAAAATTATTTTTTCAATTAAAATTTTTATGAAATTTAACAATTGTTTATAATTTAAAAAAAAAATTACAATAAAATTGAATTATTTTTTAAAAATTTCAATTCAAAATAAACTAAAATTCAATTATTACCCGAAATTTTAATTAAAATTCAATTATTTCCCAAAATTTTCAATTCAAAATGAACTGAAATTCAATTATTTTCCAAATGTAAAATCAAATAAAATTTCATTATTCTCAAAAATTTGAATTCAAAATTAATTGAATTTTCAATAATTTGAATTTAAAAGCATCTAAAATTTAATTATTTCTAAAATTTTCCATCGAAAATTTTTTTTTTCTTGAAATTTAATAATTTCAATATTATAACTTTAAGGAAATTCAATTATTTTTAATTATTTTAATAATATTCTTTGAAATTTCAACTATCTGAAACCATTTTTCAATTAAATATGATTTTCAAATTATTGTATTTTGTCCGCATTTTCTAATAAATTTTTAGTGAAATCATCTAAAATTTTAATTACAAAACACTTAAAATTTCAATTAATTTCAAAAATCTCAATTTTAAATCTTTGAAAATTCAATTAAATTTAAAAATTGTTTTCCAAAAATTGTTTGATAAATTATTTTTAGTTCTGTAAAATTTAATAATTGTTTGAAAATTAACAATATCTTTTGAAATTTAATTATTTCTAAAAATTTCAACTTTAACCCTTCGAAAAGGATTATTAAAAAAAAATTTTTTTATTTAAAAATCTGTAAAATATTTTTGTTAAAATAAAAAACAAATCCACTTTTTTTTGGAATATAAATCGACTAAAACGACTTTTTGTGTCTTTAAGTTGTTTCGAGGCCTGTGTTTTTATAATTAATATTTAATAGGTATTCGTTGGCCCCTGGTACCTTAAAAATTTATTTTTTTCAATTTACTATCTTGTACGAAATTTCCTGGCGCATCTTTTTTCTCATCATAAATTTTTTGTATTTGTATACAATTTTTGAATCAATATACAACTTTAAAAAAATTTTCGTTGGTAAACTTTGTGTACTTCAGCTTCGTGAATTGAATTTTCGAATTTGGAATTTTAAAGAAACTTATTCCGAAATTTGGAAACACAATTATAAAACTTTGTCAAAAATGAGAAAAAGAATTGTCAAAATTTGACACGTCATAAGATTACTATTCAAAAAAACACATGAAATCAGAAAAGGCCAACTTCAAGTTAGGACAGATAAAATAAATTTTACCAAGCATTTTATTATTATATAATTTTTAATGTATAATCAGTAAATATAATAATATTTTCAAATTAGAAAATTTTAATTTGTGAATTTTATTATAAACAAATTATTACATATTTACTGTTACAGGAAAAATAACAGTACAATTAAAAAAACAGTTATTTTAATAAACACATTTTATCTCAACTTTCTTCTCCATTTACAAATATAAAATATTGATTAATCATTTTTTCATACAGTTAATAAATTATTTTTAATAATCACTGGCATATATACAAAAAAAAAAATATATATATATATTCGCGCGCGAATTAATGTTCAGTCACGAAACTAACTCGTTAAAATTTTGCCACGGTCTTTATCGTAAATTTTTCGAGAGAAAGTCGGAACACACTCATTTTGTCAATATTTCAAGCGAATAATGAGGTTTATATAATAAAATAATAACACCAAATATGAAATTTGTTTTTTTTGCATTTTAAAGTAAAAAATTTTTCGATATAATGGAATTTATTTATTTGATATTACTATATTATTATAATTATAAATTTTGCAATTTATTATTTTATTTATTTTTATTTTAAATTTAAGTATCTGGAACATGAGGTATTTGTGCCAAGATAATTTCATGGCAAATTGTTTCTGTGGAACTTGGGTCATAAATATATTGTTTTCTTTTTTTTTTTTTTGTGGTGGTTGAAGAGTTTAAGATTCAAATAACGAAGCATATCTATATGTATATAAATATACAAGAGAGTAAACTTGCGGTAATTGTGCCGGTCGGTTAAGCTCTCTCCATGAAAATTGTCAGGACGGACGTGTACTTCCGGTTGGATTAAGGTGGATCACCTACTTTACAAGCGCACAGAGAGAAAAGAGAGCTATAAGAAGAGAGTCCCTAGAGATCTCTTTGATCTTCCGATTATCGCAGCTAAGCTATTTTCCTATTCGCTTGAGTAAACTTCTTTTTCATTTTGAGAATATTCAAGCTGTCGCGAGCGAGGATCCGAACATCCTTTTTCGTATCAACGATTTCTGATTCACTTTTTTTTTTCTTTCTTTCTTTCTTTTTTTTATTGAATTTCTCCTATTTTCTCTCTCTCTCTCTCTCTCAATATATATCCGTTATTTGAATTTTATTATTATATATTTTAACTTTGATGTCAGTAAATGCAAGTGCGATAAAAATAAAGATATGAATTTTAAAACAAATGTCAATAGCTTTCAATTTATGTTTGAAAAATTAGTTTCCACTAAAAATCTCGCAAACCATTTCTAATTTTCTAAAAGATTTTTATATAATTTTGGTAGTTTTGGTCTAATCTAAATGCCACAGGTATTTATTTTGGATTTGACTTGAAATTTTTGAGCTAGGTTTCTGCATTACCGACACACGAAACAGTTGCTATTAGTGGTCGGTAAGTTCTCTATTTAGTTAATTTCGTTTTTAGTTAATAAGTTCGATATTTTGAAACAAAATCCAATTAAAAAAACCGCCGAAAGGAATCAAAATTAGTTTCCACTAAAAATTTCGCAAACCATTTTTAATATTCTAAAAGATTTTTATATAATATTGTTAGTTTTTGTCTAATCTAAGTGCCACAGGTATTTATTTTGGATTTGACTTGAAAATTTTTTAGATAGGTTTCTGCATTACCGACACAAGAAACAGTTGTTAGTAGTGGTCGGTAAGTTCTCTATTTGGTTAATTTAGTTTTTAGTTAATAAGTCCGATATTTCGAAACAAAACACCAAACGAATTATGTTTGAAAAATCAGTTTCCACTAAAAATTTCGCAAACCATTTCTAATTTTCTAAAAGATTTTTATATAATTTTATTAATTTTGGTCTAATCTAATTGCCACAGGTATTTATTTTGGATTTGACTTGAAAATTTTTAGCTAGGTTTCTGCATTATCGACATACGAAAAAGTTGCCTGTGTTGATGTCGGTAAGTTCTCTATTTGGAAAATTTAGTTTTTAGTTAATAAGTTTAATATTTCCAAACAAAACTCCAAAGGAATTTTGTTTGAAAAATCAAACTCCAAAGGAATCATGTTGGAAAAATCAGTTTCCACAAAAAATCTCGCAAATTAAAACCGATTTAAAAATTTTTTTTTTGTATAATTCTATTATTATCAGTCTAACCTAAATGCCTCGGGTATTTTTTTTCCAATTTCACTTAAAAAAATCTAGTTAGATATCTACATTACCGACAAGTGGAATAGTAGATTTTTTTCACTTTTACATTACTACTGTCGGTAACTAAGTTTTCTACTTAGTCACCGACGATATTTACCAAAAAAACATAACCTAAAACTCCTATTAAATTATTTCTCAATAACTAACGTAAAATAAACGTAAAAAATAATAAAAAAAAACATAAGAATGATAGAAATAAGAGAAATAAAAGAAGTAAATTAATGTTAATTACCTTGGCGGGAGATGGTCCTCGAACAAGAGGTGGAGGCGCTCGGTTTTTAGGACTAGCTCGCGGCTCCTCCTCTTGTGGTGCTGGACCCGCTTGTTTGGCCAAATTTCTCAAAGCAGCCGCAAAACTTCGACTATTTTGCTGACCACCTGGACCCGGTCCAGGAGTATGACCCTGAGGTAAAACACCGGAACTTGGTCTGTGAGACTTTCCGATTGAGGCTGGTTGAGCTTTGGTGCTAGCAGGTTGAAGACCTAAAACAAAAATTAACAAAATACATTAAAATTTTATTTTTAATTATCTCTATATGTATTGAATTATTAGAAATATTTATTCCTCAATTTTTTATTTAAAGATGAAATCAAAAAAGTTTTCTAGTGCTAAATTACTATTTGTCCGAATTCGGTCAAAATTCGGCAATTTGGAAAATTTGAATACTTTGGTTAAGTAAAAATTCATCAAGAATAAAATTCACTAAATGTTACAAAGATACTTTGATTTTTACTGCATTTTTATTTTTAATCAGTGTTAATTTTCCAAAATACCGAATTCTGCCCGAATTCGGACAAATAGAAATTTAGCCCTAGAAAATACTTTGTATTCAAATAACCTAAAAAACGATATTCGAAGAGAGAGAGAGAGAGAAATAGAGATAAGAATAAAAATTGTCGGTGAATTTTGCTTTGTATTAAGTAAAAGCGAAACGGAAAAGAGATGAAGAAAAAAAAATGAGAAAATGCGGGCCGATTTTCCTTTCATTTTTTTTCCTTGTACAGAAAAACAGAATTGTCGGTATCCGGGATTCTATTGTCTCCGTACTGTGCTCTCTGAAGATAAGATAGCCAAAGGAGACAAGAGGAAAAAAAAGAGAGTGAGAGAGAGAGAATTTTAGTACCACGGCAAAGAGGTCCTACACGGAAGATATCGCGACGAGTAGAGAAACGAGAAAATAAACAGAAAGAGAGAGAGAGAGAGAGAGAGAGAAAAAAGGTGGAAAAATGCCAGCACTTATATACCGAGGGTGGTTTTGCACCCTCCATTCAATTCCTCATCAGGAGAGTGCACACCTTCGAGGAGGATTCTCTCTCTCTCTCTTTTTCTTTCTTTTTCTCACACTGTCTTATATTTAACGGGGTGCTCATCCCGTGTCCCTTAAAGTGCTCTACCGGAATACTATTTCTTTTCATTTGTATTTTTACCCTCGGTCGGTATCCGCGCAACGACCCTTACCATCGTTTCAATTGTCGTCGACGGAACAAAATAAGACAGAAATCAGGAAAAAAAAAGATATGACAATCCAACAAAAAGGAGAGAAAAAAAATTCAAGCTTGATTTGAGAATAAAAAAAAAATCCGTCTACTTTATAAGAAAACCACTTTCAGTAGTAGAATCTTTTTTTCATTTTCAGTTCCAAAAGGGAAATTATAATATCAAGTGTAAAATTACTACTGCATAATATTAAATTTAATTTTCAAATCTAATTTAAAATGTTTTAATCTTGACGTATTTATGTCTAACCTAACCTCATTTTTTAACTGCTAAATAACCTTAAATTTATTTACCTACATGAGAGAGAAAAGGACAAAAGATATTTCTATCCTTTTCTCTCTCATGTAAAAGCTTAAGATTTACGATTAGATATTTCATTCTGCTTAGGCATAATCTAACCTAACCTCAATTTCAACATGAAGTTAACCTGTACTTTCAAAAATTATTTTGAAAATAAATTTTTTTTCTGTTTTTGTAGTTTCTGGGGTTCCTATTTAGACTAGGCTTAAGGCCAGGTCCAAGTCGAGTCAGCAGTTCCTTTGAAGTTTCAATGGAACAGCTGACACGACTTGGACCTGGCCTTAAGGTTAGGTTAGATATAGTTTGATTCGGTTCTGTTATACACTATAAAAAAATTTCCAGAGGTATTTTACAATGTTGGATTTTGGAAAAAAATTACCACCAGTTCTACATCGTTCTACAAAAAAACTAAGGTTGTCTAAATAATATTTTTTGCCTTGTATTATAACCTAACCTCAAAACTTTGGCTGTAAAACACTGTAAAAAATTGCAGAGATGTTTTACAATTTCGGTCAATGGAAAAAAGTGACCACCCGTTCCACACATCATAAAAAAAAATTTTAGAACGTTGTAAATTGACAAGCCGGAAAATCAGAAGGCAACATAACCTAAAATACTTTTTTAGGAAAATAAGTGTACTTTTTATGTAAAATACTATTTTATTATTATAAAATAGTATTTTACATAAAAAGTACATGTATTTTCCTAAAAAAGACATAATAAGTGAAAAATTTACAAAATAAAAACTATTTTTAGGTTATGTTGCCTTCTGATTTTTCGGCTTGTCAATTTACAACGTTCTAAAAATTTTTTTTACGATGTGTGGGACGGATGGTCATTTTTTGCCATTGTCCGAAATTGTAAAACACCTCTGCAATTTTTTACAGTGTTTTACAGCCAAAGTTTTGAGGTTAGGTTATAATACAAGGCAAAAAATATTATTTAGACAACCTTAGTTTTTTTCTTTATCTAGAAACTATTATTAATTTAAGCCTGTTTATTAATAACATAACCTCAATAATTTCAGAAACAGAAGAACCAATCACGTGACAAATTTTAATACATCAACAGCAGCGCCATCGTTGGCGGGAAATTTAAAAAAAGTAAAAAAAGAACTTAAATAACTTCTCCTTTTTCTCAATTGTCCGGGGAAATAAGAAAAAAATAAATAAAAAAAAAAGAAATGAGGGTTGAAAGAAAAAGATAAAGTTTCGGCTTAAAGAACATTATTATTATATAAAGAAACTGTTGAGAGAAAGGACCACCAATGAAGGGGAGTGGAGATCTGACGCTGAAAGTGAAGTTAATTATCGACTCTGGGCTAATTGGTATTCGCAGATGGGCTTCACCGGCTACTGGGCACGATGAGGAAAATATCAGATGAGATAATTGGACGATTAGCAGCTTGCTCGAGTTGCCAGAGACTCGCTTCCAACGTCCGGTGAGTAAATTAATTCCATTTGGCAATTATTGTATTAATATATATATATATATATAGGAATAGGATGTGTGTTATACACTGAAAGAATTATTTATAGCATTTATTTTTATTTTCTCTCTTTTTATTGAGAATTCATTTTTATTATTGAATACAATTTCCTATATTTATACACACCTGCTACCGTTTTTTTTTGTTTTATTTAGCGAAATAAATATGATTCCAATTTATTACTTCGTTAAGCTAATTTTATTTGACAGTAACATAACCTCAAATTTAAACAAAAATTGATTTTCAACAATTTTATTAGATGTAATTATTTTTTAGATGAATTTTCATTTTTCGAATTAACATAATTGTCAGAATTTCTTTTTATTAAGAATTTTTAATTAACAGAATTTTTAGACACTGAATTTTTATTTGTCCGAAATTGCAAATGGCCGAACAAATAATAATCGACAAAGAAAGATTTTGGCGCGATTTTTTAAAAAATCCACCAATCACAATTTTCTTGACAACTCTTTTGATTGGTGAATTTTAAACATCGTGCGTCGAAATTTTTGTCGATTGTTTTTTCGGCCATTTGAAATTTTGGACAAATAATAAAAAATTCGACCTTTTAAAAATTCGATACATAAAAATTTTGTTGAGTAAAAATTTGTTTAAAAAGAAATTCTGACAATTGTGTAAATTCAAAAAATAAAAAATTCGTCTAAAAAAATAATTATTTCTAATAACATTTTTTAAAATCAAAATTTCAACTAATGATTTTTATGGAATAATCATGCGTTCATATCAAATTTTGAAAATTCAAAATGGCGGAATAATTTTTTTAAATTTGTTCGAATTCGCCTGAAATTGGTTAATTATGGGGATTTTTGCGATTGCTAATTACGAATCTGAGGTAAGATTTTCCAAATTCAAAATGGTGGATTACGAATTTGAGATTAGATCTTGAAAATTCAAAATGTCGGATCCAATATGGCGGACTATTTTTTAGAGATTCGTCCGATTTGTTTTGAAATTTTTACTCAGGAGTTTTCGAGGTCGCTGATTACGAATTTGCCATCGGATTTAGAAAATTCAAAATGGCGGCTCCAAAATAGCGGACAAAAAAATTAAAAATTGACCGAATTCGCTTGAAACTTGCTACTCGGGGGTTTTTGAGATTGCTGATTACGAATCTGGCATCGGATTTTAAAAATTCAAAATGGCGGATCCAATATGGCGGATTAAAAAAAAATCATCATATTTCTTTCAAAATCGTTACTCAGGGGTTGTCGAGGTCGCTGATTACGAATCCGGCATCGGATTTTAAAAATTCAAAATGGCGGCTCAAAAATGGCGGACTTTTTTTTTTTAATTCGCCACATTTATTTCAAAATCGTTACTTGGGGGTTTTCAAGGTCGCTGATTACGAATCTGGCTTCGGATTTTAAAAATTCAAAATGTCGGATCCAATATGGCGGATTAAAAAAAAAATTCATCACATATCTTTCAAAATCGTTACTCAGGGGTTTTCGAGGTCGCTGATTACGAATTTTCCATCGGATTTTGAAAATTCAAAATAGCGGCTCCAAAATGGCGGACCAAAAAATTTAAAAATTGATCCAATTCGCATGGAACTTGCTACTCAGAAGTTTTTGAGGTCGCTGATTACGAAACCGGCATCGGATTTTAAAAATTCAAAATGTCGGATCCAATATGGCGGACTATTTTTTAGAGATTCGTCCGATTTGTTTTAAAATATTTCCTCAGAAGTTTTTGAGGTCGCTGATTACGAATCTGGCATCGGATTTTAAAAATTCAAAATGGCGGCTCTAAAATGGCGGACCAAAAAATTTAAAAATTGATCCAATTCGCATGGAACTTGCTACTCGGGGGTTTTCGAGGTCGCTGATTACAAATCCGGCATTGGATTTTAAAATTCAAAATGGCGGACTTTTTTTTAAATTCGCCACATTTGTTTCAAAATCGTTACTCCGGGAGTTTTCGAGATCGATGATTACGAATTTTCCAATACCAAACTATTAAAAAAAACAAGTTTCTACTTTTTCTTTAATAAAGAAAACAGTGTTAAAAGTAAAAAAAATTAAATTTTTATTAAAACTTTTTGCCGCCTCTAATTAAAATATTCTGTAATAGTAAAAAAAAATATTTTCTGTTTATAAAATGTATACCTCAAAAGGGTTAAACTAAAAGGAAAAAAAAATGTTATTTACATCAAACTTTCTCTCTCTCTCTCTC